ATTCTTGATTTATTTAATATTTAATAAGTGTCCTAAGACTACTGAATGCATATTCAAGTTTTGGAAATAGAAAATACCAGATAAAAATAAAAAATACTTAGTAAGAATAGATTTGAAAAGGGACAATGCTCAGGTTTCTCATCTTGTATGTCAGAAGATACATACTGATCTAAAGCAATTTAGGCCCTGGCTATTTTCTAAACCGAACATTAAGGAATGCAAGGCAAAATACTCATTCTGGGAAGTTCAGACTCCTGAAATTATTGAGAAGTACTCAAATGCACCAGAAAGTAGCTCTGTTTAAAAACAGTAGTGACATGGAATAAAGATGAGATTTTCATATTAAGTCCAATGTTCTGCAAAAACAAACAAAAAAAAATTGGGGGTACTTCTGTGTTCTTTTCAGGGATATACCATAAACTCAGATTTGGGATAAAGTGCATCAGAGCTTGACAGAAGTCTGCCTCTAATAGACACTCATGCTATTTCTGATTAACATAAAAAAGGAGATTCAGTGATTAAAGGGGGATAGGATGGGAGAAGTAGCTCCTGAGGTTAACAGTGGGCCAGTTCACCACTACAGAAACTTAGAATTAAAATCTAATGTATTTCTAACTTGCTTGGCTAGTCTATCTGCAGAGGATATACTGATGTCAAGAACTATTATGGCACAAAGGATTTAAAACCCCAACACCAAAGCATGATTTATATTAAGTATTAAATTCAGGATGAAGGTGACATGACTAATGTGAATAATCTGTCACTAAGATAATCTGTCATAAGAAATACAAGATTTATGGTAATGTTAGGACTCTGAAGGATGAAAATATAAGGACAGTTATAGTTTTTACTCTGAAGGCTCTCATGAGAAAATTAAGGACAATCAAATATTAGAAGACTTCTATGAAACAGAAATGGATGAAGAACAACAGAAGAAGGTGATAACTATCAGGACCTGGACTAATCAAAAGCCATGTCAGCTTGACATCTTTAAGAAAAAATTAATTAGTCTTTAATTTTGAAGAACTCAGAATCTTTTAGTGAGATTAGATGAGACAGAATGTGATTATCAATAGGTAAACTTTCCAAGGATGTTCTTAACTATACTAATTACAAACTACCAAGATATATGACTTTCTAGAAACTGTGACACTGCTACCATACAGGGCTTTACAGAAATTAGAGGATAGGACTAAATGCCATAATATACAAAGGGGGTTAATCATGCACTTATTAATAGATAAAATCTCTTTGGGAACATTAAGTCACCTAAGTCCCTATACCCCGGATCAAAAAAAAGGTAGCTGGAGACCAGATATGCTGGTACCACTCTGTCAACACACTCTTCTTCAGGACTGCACTCAAACTGAAAATGAGTAAGTACATGCATATGTGGAGAAAGCAGAGAAAGAAAATTATAATTACCTATGTTTAAAAGTCTCTGAACCTACCCTGCCCCCAATCAAAACACTCTGAGCTTGAAAAAGTATGCTTGAACCAGAAAAAAATACTATTCCAAAAAGTCAGTAACAGTGAAATCTGCCTGTGTGGGTCAAAGCAGCTTCAAAGAGGCAAATTTCGTTTTAAGGGAGCCCAGCAAATCTGTACATGTATGAACTCTTCAAAATCAACTTGCTCACTCAACTTACCAATTTCTTAGCTTCTGCTCCACTCTTTATTTTCTGTGGGTACTTTGCTATCACAGATGCTGCTTTTCTATAAGGAAAAAGAAGAAATTAGAAATTAAAAATCCAGCAAGGTTTTAATTTTTCTTAAACTGGAACACACATATAAACAAATATGCAGCTTACACTTTCACCAAGATGATTTTCCACATCTGTGTAAAACTTATAAAATAGACAGATGAGCTGAGAGACCACCCATCCCTCTAACTTTTAGAAGTGTATCTTGAAAATCCTCACATTAGATAACATGATCTTAACTGTATATGTAAAACTAGGGAGATTCAGGAAATAGTGGCATTTCCTTTTTGGGATTAAGTGGAAAATATCATTGGGTCTTTTTTAATAGCTAGTTTCTGGAAATTATTCATAACTCTTTTATAAAAATGTGCCACTTCATAGTATTCAGACTACTAGATACCCAATTAGCTAATGGATGGTTATTTTTAAATTCACGGTTTAAAACTGCATTCCCCTATGTCCTTTTTTTTTTAATTTCCTGAATTTGTTTTTTTTTTAAGATTTTATTTTATTTTTAGAGAGGGAAGGGAGGGAGAAAGAGAAAGAGAAAGATCAATGTGGGGTTGCTGGGGGTCATGGCCTGCAACCCAGGCATGTACATAAATGCTATCGATTCCCTGGCTGGGAATTGAACCTGCAACATTTTGGTTCGCAGCCCGCCCCTATGTCCTTAATGTCAATTTTTTTTCATTGCTCCTACTTCAGTTCCATATAAGGCAAAGTGACCTGTAATTCTTGCCTGACTCCACACATATCCAGCTCAGTAATCTGGTGACAGATGGTGTACACCCTGGAAACACAGATGGTATCCTGTCTATAATGTCGATGCTAAATGTGGTTTAATGTTGATGCTGATAAACAGCCATAATATATCTAAGTCTAGAGCATAAATATTGGATGGTCTTTGAAGTCTTGGCTTTCATTCTGTATAGCACATATAAATCTTTAGACTAGAATTTCAACTTATCTATTAACATAATACTAATGATGAGTCTGGAAAGGTAGGTTGAGGGCAGTTTGCGAAGGGAATTGTTTCAGTAAAGGCAAGTAATTCCAGGTAACTGGCACTATGGGGCAAAGCCTGAAAAGGAAGAATTAGATTTTGAAAGACCTTTTGTATGCCACAATGCATTTAGGCTCTATCCAGGTAAAGAAGAAATATTTAATTACTTGACATGGAAGAGTGACAAGATAACATAACTATTTTCAAAAGAATATTTTGGCCACAATCAAGAGAAATGTGTATCGGGAAAGGGAGGAGCATACAGGGGTGTTACTTGCATTTCCAGGTTTATTTCCCACTCAGACCATAACCTTTAAGCAAACCAAATTTCTGACCCACTAGAAAATGCTATCCCCCTTCATGTTTCAATGCCTTGGCACATTATCAGTCCTATCTCTAGATTGTTCTTCCCCTCACTTATCCTTGATAGGTTTGTTTAAGACTAAATATTTTCTTTTTGAAAACTACTATGACTTAAGTTATATGGTTAAATCTCTGATTCCTAGATCATCAAATGCATGGATGATAGTACAATTACTACAAAGAAAGTCATAGGAGGTAAAGGAGAAATTTTTGAATTATGCTGGCTGGTTGGGAAGGAGAAAGTTTAGTTTTGAAAAGGTAAAGATAAAGGGCATAGAGACCTAAAAATCTGGAGAAAAGCCCAGTTAGATTTGGAGTCGTTGATATCCCAGTATCCAAAGCTACCTAGAACAGTAAGATTGTCAGGCAAAGTATGAGAGTGAGAGAAGAGAGTGAAGGGCAGACCTTTGGGAACTACCAACATTAAAGAGTAGGACAGAAGAGGTAAAGAACAGAAGGTGTGCCATCACTGAAGTCAGGGGTAAGATGTGAATGGAATGAGCTAGTAGTGAATGTCAGAGAGCCCAATAAGATGAGGTGTAGGTGAGAGCATTTTCAGAGGAATGGTAGAATGGAAATTTTACTGCAATGAGAAAAGAAATGACTAAGAATTAGGAAGTCCAGGCAAGGAACTTAACTTTCTTGAATAATCTAAGAAAGTTAACTGTAAAGTGGAGGAAAGGGGAAGTTTAGAAGATTGTTTTGTTTTCCCTTTTAGGAGCTGAGGGATTTGGACAAGTTTATAAGCTGAAGATCAGAAGCAGGTTGATGTGGGAATAAGGTCTAGGATAAGTCCCTGGTGACATGAAAAAGGATGGGATCCAAAGAGGTGACAGGATAAGATACAGACAAATCACATGAAAAAATGTGATTCCTCGAACCACACCTATTTCACAGCAGACCTCATCCACTGTCTTTTGTTATGGCTTAAAATCAAACTGTATTTGCAGTGATTAACGTTTGATGAGAGAAAATCAGTCTATTTTCAGTCAGAATTGGGAATTGATCAGAATTGATCCTGCAGAGCTCTGCCCATGGTCTCCCAGAAGGATTGCAGTAAGGTACCCCCACAGAGGCAATGCCCTTGGTTCTTGCTTTTTTTTTTTTTTCCTCTTGCAGATAGTCCAAAGATCCACTGGCCCCCTCAACCCTTTTAATTGCCACACATCCTAAAACGCATGCTCCCAGATATTGCTGCATCGTCCCACCTGTAAGCATTGTATTTGTGGATCGCTTGGTTCACGTTCTTCTCAAAGTTTGCGAGTTCTGAAAAGGTAACAAGAGGCTCGGGTGAACAAGAACCACGAGTAAGCAAACAAGAACTGAGTTTCCCGTAAGGGGACTAAACTGCCTCTTAAAGGACGGTGACGCCCCACTTCTACACGGCCCAGACCAAAGGCAGCTCAAGCGGTGACAGAGTCCCCAGCAGTGCTGACAATGTCACTGGCCACGGGGGCGGAAAGAAGACCCGCAAGGGAGACTACTCGCTGCGAGGGGCCGGTCCCATCCACTGGGCTGTCGGGACGGGACAGAAGGGAATGAAAGCAATGCGGGGGGGTGGGGGGGGGAGGTGGGGAGAAGAAAGCCAGCGGCCCCCGGTGCGGTGCTCACCTGTGAGCATGTCGGTGATTCCCCTGTTGAGAGTCTCCTGTGGCGCTTTCCGTTTGCTCATGGTGGCTTTCACCCGAGAACCTCAGAGTGCACAGACCCAGGGACTGGCCCTCCTCTCCGAGCTTTAAGGAGCGGCAGGGACTCGGAGAGGAGGAGTAGGACCTGCCCGGCTGCTGAACAGCCGGTGCGACCCGCTGAACAATGGCTGCCTCTGACAGGGGGCGCGGCGCACGGCGCACGGCGCGTCTGGTGACGTCACGATAGGAGGCGGTGCCGGCGCGGGGCTGGGACCGCGCTACTTCCGTTTGTGAGACGTGAGAACCTAACCGGGACGGTGGAGAAGACTGGAATTTGAATTTGGCAGGAGGAAGGTGGACACTCAGAACTGCATCCCAGTGGGGTCAGGAAGACCTGGATTCCTAACCTAAGACGTATCTGTTTGCCCAGTACGTTGCTCTGAAATCCTCTCCCTAAAAGGGGAAAAATTGGAGCCCGGTTTTTGACGCTGAAGTCAAACTTAAGACGGTAGGGTCTATAAGGTAGTGGGATGGGAGAGGAATACTGAAGACTGCGCACATTTTGTGTGCACAATAATTCAATAATTATTTATTGAATTCGTGACGTATTTAAAATGTGATTTGAGGCAACACCAGGGTCATACGTACTGTCAAAACTTGATGTAAGAATATAGTGCAGTCCACAGTGCGCTGGCGTACTCCTGTACTACGGGAAGCAGGAGTCCGGAATGAAATACGACGATAATAGGAAAACCTCCTATGTGAAACATTTTTTATTCTTCTGCCTTTTGTGGTGGGGGCCAAAGTGAAAAAGCCACTAGAAAGAGATAAGTACTTAACCTAAGCTGTTGTTACAACATGTTGACCTATATCTAAGAAACTTAGTTCTGCTTGAGAAATGAAAATGTAACATCAGCAATATTTTCCGTGTTAATTCCTGGGGTTCATATTAAATTGCCACATTCCAGGCTATTGCTTTGTAAATAAAATTAAAAGCTTATTACAAAGTGATACATGATTGGCTGTAGAAAAATCGGGAAAAGTATAAAAGGAGAAAAGAAAATTAAAATCAATGAACATCTTGCCATCCATCTTAATTACTGTTAATATTTTGGGACATACATTTCCAAGTCTTTGATTCCAGTTCATTTAAAATTCCCATTATATTTTAATAGTGGAATAATGCTTTAGGTATAGTTTCTTTGATTAGGTTCTGCTTGTGTTTTTTTGTGTTTACAGTATCAGTGTGCATCTTAAGTTACAGGTATTGGACAGTTGTATTTCTTTTGTGAATTTCCTATTATATCCTTTGTTCATTTTTCTAATGGGGTATTTGTCTATTTACTAGATTTTTAATATGTTACTCCCGACCCTTTCTGTACACTGTATTTGTATGGTTTTTGTAAATATTTGTATTTGCTACTTATCCATTGCCTTTTACCTTTATTCTGAAGCTTCTTCACTCTTTGATTCTCACCTTCAATTAGAAGTGAGTCATCTGGATTTCTGCGTGACTCCTTATTTTAGTGTTGAGATTGTGGGCTTACCCTATGAACTATGCCTAAAATTGTGTCCAGGTCCGTTGTCTGCTCCTACACGCGGGACCGGGAGGAATATGAGGACAGCGAGAAGCCCCTCCACATCTACTACTGTTTGTGTGGCCAGATGGTTCTGGTACTGGACTGTCAGTTGGAGAAATTGCCCATGAGACCCCGGGATCGGTCCCGGGTGATTGATGCTGCCAAACATGCCCACAAGTTTTGTAACACAGAGGACCAGGAGACTATGTATGTTCGCAGGCCCGAAGGCATTGAACGTCAGTACAGGAAGAAATGTGTAAAGTGTGGACTGCCACTCTTCTACCAGTCCCAGCCAAAGAATGCTCCTGTGACCTTCATTGTGGATGGAGCAGTAGTCAAGTTCGGCCAGGGTTTTGGGAAAATGAATATATATACTCAGAAGCAAGAGCCTCCTAAGAAGGTGATGGTGACCAAACGGACCAAAGACATGGGCAAGTTCAGCTCTGTCACTGTGTCTACTATTGATGAAGAGGAAGAGGAGATTGAGGCTAGGGAAGTTGCTGACTCATATGCACAGAATGCCAAAGTGATTGAAAAACAGCTAGAGCGCAAAGGCATGAGCAAAAGGCAGCTGCAAGAGATGGCTGAACTGGAAGCCAAAAAAGCAAAGATGAAGGGGACATTGATTGACAACCAGTTCAAATGATCAGGACCTTTCTTTGAACCCAGGCTAGAGGCAAGTATTTAGACCAGAGGCCAAAAAATTTTCTTGACTGCAGGGACTGGTTCCTGCCTTTATGCCCCAGCAGAATGCTTTATGTTGCTTCCTACATTCAGGAGGTCTTGGAATCCATCTGACCTGCTTTCTACAAATGGATTTTTAAAATATATGGGTCTTCTGTAGGATTTTGTGTCCATTTGATGTCAACTTCTTTAATTGTGAAGAAACTCTATGAATAGATTAGTGCTTAAGTGTCTTTAGTTTCCAAAGTAGCTGTTGTTTAATAAAATGTTTAAAGATTTTTTAAAAAAAAGTGGATCTTAGTTGTTTTTGTTGTTTTTCCTATCCATCTCTATTCCAGGCTATATTCATATTATTTTGTTCTGAAGAATGACCATTCTTCATTAAAGTTTTTATTTATCTCTGAAAAATGAATGTTACAACTTTGGGAAATTGTGGGATCATTTTTTATATGAGTGTCATGCCAACTTAAAAAAACAAACAAACAATGGAACCAGTGCCAGAAAACCCAAGGGAGATAATCAATTCTCTGTCCTTTTCTTTTTGGATCAACCATTAACATCTGATCCATCTAACTGATGGGAATCCCGGCTCCTGGGGTCTGCGGCATTGTGGGTGAGATGAGACAAATTCACACGGACGACTGAGTCCTGTGGAGGAAAAGGAATGGCGCGGCCACTCTCTCAAGGGGAGAGTGCCTCGACCCTTGCCTTGACAAGCTTCTATTGGGTTCAATTTGCATAGGAATACAGGGTGTATATGTAAAGCTCATCAATCATTGTCGGGCAGAAATGATTTAAACAATAGATAACATTCAAAGAACTCTGAGGGCTTATTCTGAGTCAGGGTCAGATAATTCAAGGGCATAAAACTTTGAGGAACAAACTCCCTTCCTGCTGGGACCCTTATTTAAATTGAGGGTATTAGCAAAGTAGGTTTTATAGGATTTTATGCATTCTTTTTTAGGCCTGATGCCCTAGGGAACCTTCTCTTTCCACCACAGGGCTGCACCACCCTCCTGCATTGTTTCAGGCTTAAGTCAGGCAGGGGAAGTAAGGCAGCCAAGAGATTAGGAGACTTCTTGCAGACAGAATGAGGATTCAGGCTATATCAAAGCCGAGGGGTGAGAATCCATCACCCCCTTACTCTGTAGCTCCCCAAGTCCTTCCCTGAGGGCCCCTTCGCAACCATGCCTGTCTTAGGTCATCCCTCTTTTGAGGAATCTTACCCATCATTGGCTGACAAGTCATCCACCGAGGAGCCAAGCAGGGTGAAGAGGAAGGAGGCAGAGGTGGTGCCCCTACAAGGAAGATAAGCTTTGTCTCCTAAGTGGCTTGTGGTCACAAGGTCCTTTACTCAGCCTTAGCCATGGGGGATTACAGCTTCTGAAACCAGGCAGGGTGGTTCCCAACACTTAACCACTCTCTTCTTGAAATGTTTTCGATTGGCTTCTAAAATAGTGTATGCTCTGCATTTTCCCTCTTCCTTACCCTTCTGTAGTAGCCACTCCTCAAGTTTGTTTTTTTTTGTATTGGTTCCCAGTTCCTCCTCCATTCTCCAACCTCTGTGGGAAAGTGCCTCTGGCCTTGATCTAACCAGCTTTTCCACCTTGTCCAGTTTCACCTGTTTAAATACCATGTCTAGCTTGTAGTTTCCTAAATTTGTATTTCTAGCCTTGATCCCTCTTGAGCTCTAGTACCATGTATCAAACTGCCTACTGGCTATCTCTAATTGTCCACAGTAGGCATCTCAAAGATAAAATGTCCCACAGAACTCCATTCTTGCTCCACTCACTAGCTTCTCCTTAACTTTTCCCCATCTCAGTTAATGACACTTTTTAAAGTTTATTGGGGTGACATTGGTTTCAAATGTATATTGTGTGTGTGCCCACCACCCAAAGACAAATCATATTCCATCATCATATATTTGGCCCCCTTTACTCTTTACTACCCTCCACCTCCTTCCCTCTGGTAACAATACTGTTGTGTCTGTGAGTTTCAGTTTTATATCCCATATATGAGAGAAATTGTGGTTCTTAGCTTTTTCTGACTTATTTAGCATAATATTCTCAATGTCTATCCATGTTGTCACGAAGGACAGTATTTTATCTTTCTTTATGGCTGAGTAGTATTCCATAGTAAAAATGTACCACATTTTTATCCAATCATCTGTCAAAGGACACTTTGGTTGTTTCCGTGTCTTGGCCCCTGTGAATAATGCTGCAGTGAACATAGGGGAGCATATGTCTTTGCAAATAAATGTTTTCAAGTTTTTTGAGTAGATAGCCAGAAAAGGGATTGCTGGATCATATGGTAACTCTATTCTTAATTTTTTGAGGGATGCCATACTGTTTTCCATAGTGGCTGTACCATTCAGCCACTTCCAGCAGTGAATGAGGGTACCTTTTTGCCCACATCTCCAACCCTTGTCACTTGTCTTGCTGATAGTAGCCATTCTAATAGGTGTGAGGTGGTATCTTATTGTAGTTTTGATTTGCATTTCCCTAATAGCTAGCAAAATGGAGCATCTTTTCATGTATCTGTTGGCCATTTGTATGTCTTCTTGGGAGAAGTGTCTGTTCAGGTTCTCTGCCCACTTTTTTAAATTGGACTGTTTGGTGTTCAGTTATATGAGTTCTTTGGACATTAACCCCTTGTCAGAGCTAATGTTTGCAAATATCATCTCTCATTTGACTGGTTCCTTTTTAGTTAATGATACTTTAATCCACCCTGCCATCAGACAAAAACCCTAGGCGTCACAATTACTCTTTTCACACTGCACATCCAGTCTGTCAGCAAGTCTTGTCTGATCTGTCTCCAGAATATACATTCTCAACTGGATTACCTCTCAGCACTTCTACTGCCCCTACCCTAGTGCACTCTATGTGATCTCACTCCCCAGCTACTGCCGTAACCTCCTCAGTGGGCTTCCTGCTTCTCCTCTTGTTCCAAGTAGGACAAGAGTGGTTTTTTTAAAAATGCATATCAGAAAATGTCATTCATTTGCTTAAATACCCTCTTGTTACACTTAGAATAAAATCCACACTACTTTCCATGGCCTACAAGGCTTAATGTAACCTAACCCCTACCATCTCTCCCAGTTCTGACTTTTCCGTTTCGTATGTATCAGGATTTACCGCACACACGTACCCACTCCAGGGCTCTTCCAACATTGCTCAGGCCTTTGCCTGGCTGCCTTCTCACCATCCAAACCTCAGTCCAGTAGTCACATCCTTGTCACATTCCTGAACAAGACTTATTAACACTCTCTACCCATTACTGTTTCACTTTCTTCATAGCATTGAAACTATTTGACACTTACACATGTTATTTGTCTATTATCTACTGCTTGTTCTACCCACCTTCCCACCAATGTAAGCTCCATGAAAGTAAGGAATTAATTTTTGTTTGCCATACAGAGGTGCTCAATAAGTACTTGTTGAATATCCTAAATTGTAATTTTGCTGAAATGCTTCAAATTTCACAGGATTTGGACACATCATGATGTAGAATGGCTAATCATCCCAGGTTGGCAGGAACTGAGTTTACTGGGATACAGAACTTTATGGGCTAAAACCAGGAAAGTTCTGGGTAAACCAAGAACTGTTTGCTCAACAGTTCTTGCTCAACCTTAGATAGTTAAGTTGCTCAACCTTAAGATATGTCACCATTTCAACAAATTGTGACAGTAACAAAATATTGTCAATAGGTTCTGCAACTTTAAGCAAAAGGATATATAATGAAACCAATTTTACCATAGGATAATTCATACAAACAAGAGTTAAGTTCCTATAGTATCTCATCAACATTGTAGTGAAATGACATTGAATGAAATGTTATTCAAAGACCTGTTTACTTTAATATACCAGTGTACAATGTAGCTCTAAGAGGCAATTAAAACATGAAATATTTCCAAAACTTACTTGACCATGAAACCCTTCTGTAGTATTTCCATGGAAGCCATTTTGTGAAACTCTTCTATTCCAACTTTATTCTCTAACCAAACTCATTTCTGTCATCATCTGAACTTGTTTTGCTTTCCTGCTTTTATGTAAAGTTTTATGAAATGTCAAAGAGGCAGTCCTAGTGCTACAGCACTGTTTGGTAAAGGCACTATTCCATCTTATAAAATTTAAGTTGGATTATGAGTTCATAAGTCATAACCGAAGGCACTATAAAAGTAGATTGTGAAACCCACTATGAGTGTTTGAGTCATATTAGAAGATACAGAAACGAGTTTTTAAATAAAACAATTTAATTCTGCTAGATGATATGAGGGGCAGGGACTCCCTGTCCCCCTACCACCACACACGACGCGACTGAGCAAGGACAGGAGGTGTGAGCATTGTGGTCAGCAGGCCAGTGGTGACAGGTAACCTTTTCTCCTTTCCTTCTTCTGCATGACAACTCACTCCCAAGTCATCTTTGGGAACTAAAAGAAGGGAGCTGCTCCTCCATCCTGGTTCTAGTGAGTCACTCCGAGGCTGAAAGGACTACAGACAGGGAGCTTGCATTCACAACCTTGCCAAAGGGAGAATAATAACCAACGTGTAAGTAAAAGGACAATTTTAGCAGCCATAAAATGAAAAAATGGGAGAGGAAGGATGGGGCCAGGCCAAATGCATGACTTAAAAATCTGTTCAAGAGAAGCCAAATCCTCTGGAGATTAGGAGGGCTCCAGAGAAGACAGGCTGGCACCAAGTGCTGTTCGTACTATGTCCCGAAAAATTCACTTTAGACATTTGTCCAGTGGTCTTTGTGTAACTGTACTTGAGCACTTTTTTCAGAGAAGAGGAAGTAGTTGCTAGTGGTTTAATCTCCCGAATGCTCATGCCTGGCATCCATGTTTGCTGGGCCTCTGGGATGGAGGACTTCCAGTGTACGGACAAGCTGTCGGCAGTGCCCACAGAGGGCCACACCCTTGGTTCACAGTCAACACCACAACTGTGGGACAAGTGTGAAGGTCTCCATCTGCGTGCCAAAGATGCTGGGTGCCAAAGACATCTGTATAGCAGGGACCGCTGTGGGAGGGCCTCAGGCCAGGCAGCCCCATCAGGTGGTCAAGGCCACACACACAGTCATGAGGCCTGCTCCAAGCTATTCTGCTCTTCTTCCTCCGTCTGCAACCAGCTCCAGTCTAGAGACTGAAAGACAAATGGCAGGTTAAAAATACAGCAGCCACCAATACACCTCAGGCTGTTTTTCTTCTCTGGGAGGCAACCAACACAATGTAGAAGGAAATATAAACCCTCTCATTAATAAGTCTTATTATTGCAGGGTACCCTTGAGCTAAAGGGACATATTCAAAACCACAGAGGATCTTTTCTTTGGACTGGCTTACAGTCCCTGAGATTCCTGGACTATGGAAACTGGAAAGGCAATTTTAGTATTACTTGTACTCATGGCATTTATTTACACCTACTGTGGGTAGGTAGTATGAAAAGCATTCCAGGTGGAGCAAAATCATAAGCAAAGGCCCTGTGGCTATAGGAGTACATCATAATCTAGGAGCAAAGCAAATCTCAGTTATTGATTTCCAACCTCACCAGGGGAAGTACTCTAATTAAAGACGTCCTCTTCCTCTGGTAGAAATGCAAATTAACAATGAAAGGATTAAATATACAGTCCCATGAGGAGGAAGAGCAGCAACAACAGGTACAGAAAGCCACCAAACCAGAGAATGACACTTGAATAAATACCATATCATCACAATTAATGGTATCCCCTCTGATCCTTCTGAAAACTAAGAAATTACGGGGGAGGCTAGCAGGTCATTGTACTGGCGAGAAGAGGCCCTGTAAAGGTCTAAGGGAATGATTTAGGATCCTCACCGTAATGTTGGTTTTGTCTTTTTTTAATCCTCGCCCGAGGATTTGTTTTATTGACTTCAGAGAGAGGAAGGAAGAGAGAGAAAGAGAAACATGGATGTGAGAGAGCAACATCGACTGGCTGCCTCATGTACACGCTCTGACAGGGATGGACCCCGCAACCTGTTGGGTGCATGGGACAATGCCCCAACCAACTGAGCCACCAGGCCAGGGCAGCTCTGCCTTAATGCACCTATATCTCGACTGGTTTTCTTTAGGTTAGTTTCCCTATAACCAGTACTACCTACTGCTAAGCTCTGAGTCCCTGAGAAGCTGGGCCATGACAGGTTCTTGCTTTGTCCCTGAAAGCCAGCACAGCACCCACAACACATAAATGCTCGGCAATGGAGCAAAAGTTGCTGGGGGTGGGGGTGCGGGGGCAGCAGGGCAGGTCTTTTCGGAATAATATTACCTTCTTCATTGCCAAATGTTGTAAGGATTAAATGACGTAATGCACGTAAAGTACTTGTGCCCATTTCATAATGTGAGCATTATTTTGATGATGAATAATAATAAATATGTACAGCTGACCCTTGAACAACACAGTTTGAACTACGCAGGTATACTTGTATGTGATTTTTTCCAATAAATACAGTAAATGTATTTTCTCTTCCTTATGATTTTCTTAATATTTTCCTTTCTCTAGCTTACTTTACTATGAAGAATACAGTATTAATACATACACAAAATATGTGTTAATTGTGTTATCAGTGAAGTCAACAGTAGGCTATTTATAGTTAAGTTTGGCAAGTCAAAAGTTACACGTGGATTTTTGACTGTGCAGGGGTTAGTACCCCAACCCCTGCATTGCTTAAGGGTCAACTGCACTAGAACCCCCTGCATGTATACTGAGATCAAGGAAACAATGCCTTTCCATTTTCTTTTTCTCATCTGCTGTAGAAGGGACATGGAATAGCTGGGGTTCACACAGGCCATTACCCGTAAACTCTGGTCCTGGTCTTTCATGGTGTCTTGCATTGCGCTTTCTAGCTGGGTGCAGAGAGTGTGTGCTTCAGCCACCAGTGCGTCACTAAAGGAAAGGATCAAGTTATTAGAGAGTGGTCAGCATTATTTTTTCAGAGATGATACTGTTTTAAAATATGCTAAAGAAGTTTTAACAAGGTTTTAAAAACTGAGTGAGAATTATTTTGGTGCCGAGTGTCTTAAAGCACCATGTTGTGAGCGAGTGACCTCACGCCTCCAGGGAAGCACTCTTTGGAAGCCCGAATCTGGCGTTACCTGTCATGGTGTGGGAAAGCAAACCAACCCCTGCTTAATAAAAAGGTTAAAAGTAAAAGAGCTCTTTTGGACTTAACTAGACAGCTGAATTTATTAATTCTTTCCAAACTGCCAAAATCTAAAGATAACTCCCAAATCACCTGTTTTCTAATTTTTGAAATGGCAAGAAATAGAGAGAGACCAAGCAGTTTCACCAGGTCTCCACAGTCCCTTGAGATCCGACGAAAAGCAAGGTCTGGAAGCTGGTTTCATTTCACTTGTGCTCTCCCCCTTCCGTGGCCACCATGCACGTGTCCTGTTAAGAACGGGCCACGGGGAGACAGGGGAGAGTGTAACAGGCCACCCGCCTTTTCTAATCGCAGCTCTATGACCTGTGCTCCCAGGATAACTTTTCCAGATCTTTCCGTTATTACTGGAGGGAACAGGACAAATCCCGGAAAGCAGTGTCCTCTCACCTTGCAAGGTGTGGCACTCTGATGGAAGGAACACAGGGCACCTTTCTGCTTAGTCTCATCTCCAGGACTACTGACTAGGTTCAAGGCTCGGTGCCGGCTCCAGAGGACAACGTGGGAGGCACAGGACCCAGGCATTATCCTCAGGGACCCCACAGTAGGTTGGGGAGGGAATCGAGAACCTAAGGCCATATGTGATTAAGTACCAAACCACTACAGGCTATGAACTCCCCAAATACTGGAACAGGACTTTTTAAAACAACTTTATTGAGATAAAATAACATACCATAAAGTTCGCCCAGTTAAAGTGTACTTTGATGGCTCAGGATATTTACAGAGTTGTGTGACCATCCAAATCATGTAGTCTTGGAACATTTTCATCACCCAAAAAGCAATCCTGTACCCACTGGCAACCACTTCCCATTCCCTCTCCCCACCTGCCCCAGGCAACCATTAGTCTGTTTGCTCTGTCTATAGACTTGCCTACAGGAACTGACTTCTTCTCCAGTGTCTAGGGCGTGGCACATAGAACGTGTTGAGTTAATGGGTGTGAGACTGAATTAAACACAAAATCCCCCCACAGAAGGTCCAAGAAGAGAGTGACCCCTGTGTGCTCTGGTGGTCAGGGCTTTAGAGGGGGTGGGAAGCAGATGTGCCCTCCAGATGGGAGGACCGTCTCCAGGAAGTTCTTGAACTTGAGCATGCGTCAGAACCAGCCTGGGCTTCTTAATCCTGACAGCTGTGCCCCACCACTGAGCTTCTGAAGCAGAATCTGCATCTCTAACAAGATGCTGCTAATGCTGCGGTCTGAACCAGACTTGAGGAACCACTGGGCTGGCGCAAGGAGTTTGTGTGGGCACAGTGGATCCCCCTGAGCTGCTCTGAGGGGCCGAGAATGTCTGAAAAAACTCAGGATGGATCCTCTAGGGAGAAGGAAACCATTACAAGTTACTGGCCAAGGAGTAACTTGATCAAAATGGAATTTTGTGAGGACTAATTTGACCAGAGAGGGCTTGGAGACAGAACCAGGCAGGAGGCAGGGAGGCTGAAAGCCTTGCCAGAAGGGGCTGAAGTGCTCTGTTCACCACCTCTGCAGCAGCGGTACAGGTGACAGGAGAGGAGAGGAAGGGATGAATGGGAGGTGATGAGAGGCAATGGGAGGAAAACAGTAATTTGGTAACTCAAAGTGGTGGTGGTGTGAGAGGGAGAAGGCAGGTGACTGGGGGGCAGGGGGGAATCTGGTTTTGAAGACCAGAGAGTGACTGATAGACTACAGGACAGCCTGTGACTGACTAGCACTTTTCAACATTCTCATTGAGCAATTAGTAATCCAACCCTCACACAAGAAAATTTTGGTTACTGAGATATGCTGACTCCCAAGGCACTAGGAGGCGTTTGTGCCCGCAGTGCCACCATGGGTAACAAGCACAAAGGAGAACATGCACAAAACCATTAGACAGGCGAAACGGCCTATCAGCGATAAACATCCACTTCCCCAGCAGGACCTGCTGACGCGCCCTTGAGTGTTACACCGGGCTGTTAACCACGACGGACGTACCTTTTGCTGACCGACTCTGGTAAGCAGTCAGGGGCAGTGGGAGGCTGAGACATGAGCTGACCAGAGTGGCTGAGGCGAGAAGCATTCATGCTGTCTGGGCTTCCACTGACAGGACCACGGACCTTGCTCTGAAACACAGACCGAAAAGGAAGTCAACCAAGTTCTGGAGCAAAGGGAAAAGTCAACTCCTGCATTCACATCATGGTATTTTCCCATGGGACAATTGGTTATCAGACACATGTTATTCCTAGAGGATCTCGGTCAACACCTCTATCCATGACAATCAGCAGTTTGCCTTTCCGTTTAGAAAACATTTCTGTATTAGGTGTACTTTTTGATAAGAGATTCTAAATACAGTCGTCCCTCGCTATATCGCGGCTCACTTATTGAGGCTTCACTGAATAATAATAATACTTTGAGATACAGTGAAGCCGCAATAAGTGAACCGTGATATAGCGAGGACGACTGTATACTTCACTGGTGAGTACCCATATAAAATTTTATGTTGTTAAAATACGTAGGTTTAAGAGTGTAGAAAGGGTTTAAGAGCATATGAAGTGTTTATAAGAGTGTGGGAAAGGTTAATAAGAGAGTGGGAAAGGTTTATAGGAGTGTGGGAAAGGTTTATAAAGCCTTAAAATATATATAAATAACAAAATACATATTACGCCGCTACTTCGAGGATTTTCACCTGTGGCGGGGGGCTCTGGAACATAACTCCCACGATAGGTGAGGAATCACCGTATAGGGAGATTTGAGTGCCTGTATTTGTAGGCTTTATTTCATTAAATTTGATTGCTTAATGAACTCTTATACGGAAATGAAAAGTGAGGTGTTTTTACTCTTTTCCAAGTAGAAGACTAAGACACATAAAAAAGTTGTCAGTGACTTCCTGTGAATTGCACCCTCTGTGGACGCTGAGAAGAAAACCAAAATACTCTGACTCCCAGGCTGCTGCAGCCAGTCCGCATCGAAGCCAAGATGCTAAACCGATGGCTCCTGCTCCAGCTACTTGCACCTGCTCAAACCCACAGCCCACAGACACGACCTACGATTGACCTTCTCAGCACCTCCTCCTCACCACACCTTCATCTGTGGGCCTCACCTGCTGCTCATTAACCCCTCTCCTCACCCCCTCCCCACCCTGCAGCCCACAGCTTTTCATCCCTCTCAGCCGCTCAAACTGTGGGACCTGTCCTGGCTCCACATCTTCCCTTCCAGCCAAATGTCAAGGTCCAACCTCAGCCAGCCATTCAAGTCTCCTAGTCTTCCTGCCCTTTGTCTTTCTGCTGGATCTTCCCTGCTGATTATCACCCTCGGAGAGGCCCAGTCATCTACCTCCTTCGCTTCTGCCTTGGTCAGCAAGTGAGGAAGGAGATCCCCATGGTGCTGTTCGGCTCCTCACCCTGCTACCGGCCTGTCCTGTGCACACAGGAACTACTCAACTCCAGCCCCACTGAGTGGCCCCTCGTGCTCGACAGTGGGGTCTGCCAAAGCCTCAAATCTGTTCTCCAGCTGCCACCAGAGTGAGTTTTCTAAAACCCTAATGGGATCCTCCCATTCCCGAAATTAACTCCCTTCAATGAGACGAAAAAACAAATACTGCAATGTTTCCTCCATCTCTTTAAAATAAAGTGTGGCCTGAATGAGCTAGCCCTTGTCTGCCTATCGAGTGCCATCCCTGGGATGCCCTCCCCAGCACCACACCAGCCTGCTGATACCTCCTCCCTCCAGGCTTTGACAGAGCAATGTCTTTGTCCTGGAATGTCCTCATCTCCACCTAGGCACCCACCTACGTCCTACGGACACTTTAGGTGAAACAATACCTCCTTGTGAATGTTTTCTGTGGGCCCTTCACCTCTTAAGACTGAAGCTGGCATTCCCCCTCTGCATTCATGCCACAGCTAGTGCTTATTACAGCTGCTGTATGGCACTTCCTGCCCTAGACTGTCCTCATTCCTTCCCCTGTCTGGGCACCTCACCAGATTGTGAGCTCGTCAGGCCAGGCACCATGCGTACTTTTCCTCCTGCAGCTCCAGTTTTCAGGCCCCTCCTGGCACATACAGTCAGCACTCAATCAAGGGTGAATGGACGCAGACCAGGCCATCGCTTGTGAATACCTCAGCTTCCCTCTTCAATATTCTCTGCCTCGTTGAATCTTCCGTTTTTTCCCTCCTTACTTACAGAAGAAAATGTCATTCACCCCTTCCCAAGGCCAAGCTCATGATACTGACCTCACCATCGTTCTCAAGACTGGAGACTAAACTGTCTCCTGTCACTTTGATGCTGTGAATCCCCGGAACACTGTCTCCTGCTAGGCTTGTAAATATACTCCAGTTTCCATGATCTTAAAAAACACCATCCTTGTATCCTGCTTCCACCTTAAGCAACTATATTCCCATTCTCCTCTGCCTTTTTTTTTTTTTAGATTTTATTTATTTATTTTTAGACAGAATAGAAGGAAGGGAGAAAGAGAGAAGCATCAATGTGTGGTTGCCTCTTGTGCACCCCCTGCTGGGGACCTGACCTGCAACACAGGCTGTGCCCTAACTGGAAATCAAACCAGTGACCCTTTGGTTCGCAGGCCAGCACTCAATCCACTGAGACACACCAGCCAGGCCTCCTCTTTGCTCTTAAAGGCTATCAATGACTCCATGGCTCTCTTTTCAATCTCTTCAGCTTTGTGCAGCCTTCACTGTGAGGGTCACTCTCTCATCAGCTCTGGTTTCCATCACTTTTGCCTGGCTCTTTTCTCTTCTCTGTCCTGAGCTTTCTTTTTTGTGTTATGTTTTCCCTCTAAGCAACATTCAGTGTTCACAGCTACATGAGACAGGTGATGGGCACAGAAAGTATGAACTAGAACAGACTCAGCACATGCAGATGAGGACCCACCATGTCATGCTGCCATGCACTGTAGAGGGCTAAGTGCGGGACCCCCAAAAGATCTGTCCATTCCTAATTCTAGAAACTTGGAAATGTGAGCTTTTTGGAAAAGGGTCTTTGCTGATGTAGTTAAGGGTCCTGAGATGAGATCATCCTAGACAATTTGGTGGGACTGAAGCCCAGTGACAAGTGTTCTTCTAAGAGACACCCAGGAGACAGACACAGAGAAGGCCATGAGAACATAGAGGCAGAGACCGGAGTGGTGCACCAGGGAACATCTGGGGCCACCAGAAGCTGGAAGAGATAAGGAAGCATCCTCCGCTGGAGCCCTCAGAGGGAGCCTAACCCTGCCAGCACCTTGATTTCAGACTTCTGACCTAATACGCTGTGGTAAGTTATTACAGTGGCCACAGGAAATGAACACATGCATAAACAGAAACAATGGGCCTAGGCCCTAACTCCACCCCCCACTGCTCGCTCTAAGGCACAAAGAAGTGAAAGCCAAGCAGCAGCAGCTGAGCGGTTATCAATGGGTTTGTGGTCCCTCTTGCACGGCGATGACAGCGCGCAGAGGGAGGAAGGCCCGGAGAGGGCTGCAGGCCTGGCCACGGGGCTCACTCACACACGCGATCTTCAGGAGATTCCAGAGCTCCTTCTGCCGCTTTTCCTGAAGCCGAACAACAGTCTTCTCATCCTCGTTCATTAAACTCACCACCTCTTCCACCTTGGGCAACAATTCCAGAGCCTTCTGCTTGCAAACCACAGTTTTACTGTAAAGAGTAAACAAGACAAAATGCAGTGGCATTTGGCGTAGAGAAAGCAGGAGAACATAATCCCTGGCAGTTATGAGTCCATTCGGCAGCTGTATAAAAATTTTCTTCCGGTGGGTAAGCACATCAGAGTGGAGTGAAGAAATGGCCTCACAAGGCTTGCTGCTTTTCCACATTCCCCCTGGAGTGGCAAAGTCGGGGTTCATACCTGAGCTGTGTATAAATCACTCGCACTTTCTTCTCAAAGGCTTGGATGGCCTGAAGCAGCAGTCGCACCATTTCCTGACTGTCACCCTCAGTCCGTTGGTCTGGAAAGAGGGAAGGAGGTGCGCAGTTGCTGCAGGGGGCAGGCATGGAGACCAGGGCCTCACACCTGAGGCAACAAGGGACCCGAGGCAGACGTAAAACCCCGCTCACCTCTTGGTTTTTCCCTGAGTCTCCTGTAAAGCTCCCTTGCTTGCTCTTCTCTGAAATACATGAAGAAGAAGTTCTGTATAGATCTGAGGCCAAATTAGCACATTTGAAGCATTAATAAGCTAATTCCTGCCAGCAGAGTTGCTGATTTCTAGAAATAAGACTGACACTATGTCTTCATTGGGGAAAATGATTATTCCTGGTGATATTATAGATGATTATCTATAATAAGGAAATGGTCATTATCAAACATCTCCAAAGTTTCAGGGGAGACGACCTAAAGGAAAGGAGTCTCCACTCTGTCCCATGGAATTCCTATCCCCTCGGCTTCTGCAGCAGTGCTTCCGGGTGCCATCCCTGGCCCCAAGCCAGGAGAACACAGCTCCCTCTTAGAAATGCGAGCCCAGGTGGACACAAACTCCTATCCCTTTTTCACCTTAACACAGTGAGACTAGCTAACATTTTCAGAGGTGACTTTCATTTGAAAACTAGAGGAGAATGAAGGTGCATATGACTCAAGAAAATGCAGAATACAAACAATCAGATTTCTGACAGTCTGGCTCCTGGTCCTGAGAATCTTGGTAAAAGCCTCAGAGGATACTGCTAAGCCCAAGTGAGAGCTCCTGAGAGGCCGATGTGCTCGCTGCCTCCCTCCACTCTGCACCCTGGGGGCTGTGTGCAACTTCCTTCAGGCCAGGCGTCCTCTTAGAGCCAAGGCGAAGTCCTGACAAATACCTCAAAAGAACAGTTTCCAGGTCCAAACTTCTAAGAGTTGCCAGTCTTGTCCTTCTCTTTGAGCTACACCTGGGTCAGGGTGGGCTGGACGAACAGTGATGCCTGATGCTGTGGGAAAGGCTCCTTGCAGAATAACTTTTATAGTTTACAAACTACTGATCTATGCATTATCTGAACTGATCCTCCCAACTTTGGGAGGTCAGACAATTTTTTTGGCCACTAAATACAAGGGGTGACCCTGCCAAAAACAGGAATCATCTTCCGGAGGATAGGCCCCTTGTGAGTGTTCTAGGAACCCATGTGTATCACTGCACCAGCTGGCATTGTTGTTAGAGGCTGTGTTCGGCTTCAGTGAATTTTTTTTGAAGACTCTTTGATTGCATTTGCCCGTTTCATAATGGGTGATTTATGAGTGCACCTGCTCACACTGCACTGAGTGAGTGTTCAGCAGTTTTTGACCAAAAATGGCATGACCCCCATGCTGCACCCCCCATTCACCTGATCCTGCCCCAAACAACTTTTTTCTTGTTTCCCAGATGGAAAAAACCTCAGAGAGAAACATTTTGCCAATGTGGAAGACGTGAAACAAAAAACGGCAGAAGCACTAAAAGGCATCAAAGTTGACAAGGTCAAAAACTGTTCTGAGCAGTAGAAAAACATCTTGATAGGAGTACTGCATCAGATGGAGAGTACTTTGAAGGTGACTGAAGTTTAAACATGCAAGAATAACACACAATTTTCATAAACAAATTCCGGGGTTTTTTGGGTCCCCACCCCACCTTGTAGATATGGAAACTAAGGCTCAGAGTGATGATGATCTGTCCTTGCTCATTTCTGGAACATGCAGAGATGACTCACTGGGGGTGGGGAGGGTGCACGTCTACAGGAGAACAGTTCCATGAGCTTACTTAATAACCACACAATTCCAACACACATGTGGAAACTCCAGTTCTGGCCTGTGTGTATGTTGGGGACAGCATGTGCGCCCCGCCCAGCTGGTACTCACAGGTCGTCCAGCGTCCCGCCCTGCTTCCGACCCATCGGGCTTCTCTGCAAGTCCACAATGTCCGTCTGCAGTGCCATCATCCGTTCCACCAGATGTTTCACTTCATTCTCCTGGTGGAAGAGCTATGCTAATGTCAACTGACGTAAGAGGAACATTCTGAGATGCAAGGGTTTTGGGGGAAACCCTCCAGGCTCACTACAGACTCTCAACTGACTGGCTAGAAGGAGTGTGGGTTTCGGAGTCAGAAAGAGCTAGGTTTGGATCTCAGGTCTACCACTTTCTGTGTGACCCTTGGGCAAGTTACTTAACCCTTGCTGTGCAGTTTCCCACCATAAAATAGGCTTCTAATGGGGCTGGCCTGGGGGTCAGGTAAGTATGTAAGGTATCCGGAATGGTGCCTGACACATAGGATGACCGATGTTCATTCCTGTCTCTTCTCTTAATTTGTCTATCCAATGCCATCTCGTGTGGGGCCCTGGATTCCTTTCCTTTACAGATTATGTAAGTGAGTGCTGTGCTGGGTGGAGCACTCACCGGTCTCTATGGTTAACTAGGGAGTTGTCTGTACACGCTCAACGTTAAGTATGCATTTAGTACTGATTTTCAGAAGCAAACACTAAAACACAGAGGCAAAGGTCCTTGCCCAAGTTCACAGGAGAAAATGGTAGAAAAGCCCAAGAAAAACCCTCAGAGCCCAAGGTCTTCAATCTGTGTGAGGTTCACTAAGTAACACCTCTCCACCTTCCTAATCCACATTTTCCAGTGGCACTTGAGTTACACTGTCCTAAGACTCTCTGCCTGGACCTCTTCTCCCCTGTGGCTTTAGTGTCCCAGCAAAAGTAGGCAAAAACCTTTGACGAGATGGAGTATTGATCATTCATCCGAGGCCCTTCCTAACGGGAAGAGGTCCAGGCTTCCCCCCAAGGACACTTCACACTTTGCTCCTCATTCAAATCTGGACCAGCTCTGTCCATCTGGGTAGCTCCCAGACCTGCCACAGTGCGGTCCCTTTCAGTGGCCCCTTTTACTCTCCCAGTCTCTTTCCAGCAAGTTCTAGTAAAAGTCAGAGCACGGCGAAGAAAACTTGAGTTTTCCCATACAAGATAGGCCTAGTGTTGAAGAGAAAGTGGAAAATGGTAGAAAAAAGCCTCATCCTCTTCAGTAAGGGTAAAATCCTAAAATGAGTGTCCTACCCGCCCACAGAGCTCCACGGCCTGTTCCATTTCCCTCCAGGCCAGCAGCAGTTTATCTGATGCTGGAAAAAAAAATGTAGGGGGAAAAAAATGAAAAACAAAACAAAGACACCACAAAACCAAAACAGAAACAAGCAACTCAATTATAAAGGGATAAAAGAAACCTCAGGAACAGAAAATAAGAATGAAATGGTCTCTCCAAACTCATTGAAAAGAGTACACTCACTGATCCCAAACTCAGTTTGCTCACTATACTTCTCCAGGTCAATCTGGATGCTGGTCTTAAAGAAATCCAACTTGGCCTTGAGCTGCTGAGACATGGAGGCCATGGAATTCTTCATCTTGGAGAGGCAGCTGTTATTCCGCAGGAGATTCATCCTGCGGGGACCGCAAGAAACAGAACCTTGGGGTGTCTTTGGGATCCAAATACCATTTCCTGTACAATAATAACAAAACAGCCTCAAATGCCAAGGCAGACCCCTGCTATAATTATTATAAGAGCAGCCAGTTCAAACCATAAAGACAACTTCCTTGTCCTCAGCAATGCATGAGGTCCTGCACCAAAGTGGGAATCAGGCCGACTACTACATAAAGGGCCCATAACCCACACCAGTCAGAACCCAAGGAAGAGGCAGCCAGTCCCCAGCATGGCAGCCGGGGAGGGATGCTGACCCAGACTGCAATGAGCTCCTCCACGTTCCAAATTCCGCCCCCACGTCAGTCAGCCCAGCCCTCAGTTCACACTTCTGCTCCATGTGCCCACATCGCTCAGCCTGCCAGGTCTGAAAGGGCCTGCCTCCCTCCAGCCCTGCTGGCCACGTCCTGCCCACCCAAACCAGTGTCTCCCTCTTGTCTCTCCTAACCGTTTCTTCTGGGCCCTTGCCTCCACCACCACCCTGTGGCCAAAGCCACCAAGCAATTTTAAATAAGCCCCAAACCGCCTGGCACAATACATGGCAGCTCGTTGTCCCTGCTGCAGCCGGTTACAGTCCTCCTTCAGGGTTTGGATGCTGTGCCAAACCTGGCCCCATACTTTCCGCAGCTGGAAGAAAGACAGGTTCCTCTTGGGCTCTTGAACTGGAACAGAGACATATACAATTGTCAGAGAATAACGCCCTATGATTAACCACATCCTGCCTTGCAACATCGCTGGCTTTTACAATTTTAGAAGTTACATAACTACTATGCTATTATATAACTCTTTGGGGTGCTATGTCTCGTTACTGCCTCATACACATTTTTGTACCAGTGTGCATGAAAGTATGTACTAGTGAATAAACAGCTGTTGCTTTGATCTGAAGAAACAATTTGTGAATCATGAGGAGACAGTTATATATACACAGACTCATATAGAGTCTTGCAGAAGTAATACCTGCTTGAGTGTGGTTGGTGGGGTAATAATATGGGTGAAATAATATATAGTTTTAATTTGACCATTCCACTTAAAATGTCATTATGGTGTGATTGAGTGTGATATTCTTCTGTTACAGAATTACATGCTCATGATTTTGTAATAGAAGATTTTATAATAAAAAAGGGGTGTTATTTGTGTTAAACCCTGTATTTTTTTTAAATATTTTACTTATTTACTTTTAGAGAGAGGAGGAGGGAGGGAGAAAGAGAAGGAGAGAAACATTGATGTGCAAGAGATACATGGGATCGGTTGCCCCTCTCACACACCCCCAACCGGGGACCTGGCTCACAACCTGGGCATGTGCCCTGATTTTGGGAATCAAACCGGTGACTTTTCAGTTCACAGACCAACGCTCAATGCACTGAGCCACACCAGCCAGGGCGGCTCATATATTTTTAATAGATACTCTATGCTCACAATATTTAAGGTCATATGAAGCTTTCTAAAAATGCAGCTTCAGTCAGCAGTACTGGAAGATGACTAAATAAGCAATAAGCCTGGAGATCTCTAAGCCTTTGGACCTCTGATCTGTTTATTCTGCGTGTGGGTGTGTGTGTGTGTGTGAGAACAGGACTGGGAGAAGGGTTAAAATGTCCATCTAACAAACAACAATGTAATGCTACAGAGGCAGGTAAAAAAATAGGCAGCTCTATATGCACCAAAAGGGGAAAAAAATCTCCAAAATATAGTAAGTAAAAAAGGCAGGTACAGAACAGTACACATGGCATGCTACCATTTTTTGGGGGGGGGGTAACAAAGTGAATATATATAACTTATAAATGCACATGTGGAATACCCCTGGAAGGTACACCCAAGAACTTGACAGCAGCAGTTTCTCTGGAAGAGACTGGGAAACTGGGGAGGGAGGATGGCTTATTTTTCACTGTATATCCTCTTGTACCTTTTGATTTTTTGTATCATATGTATGTATTAACTATTAAAATATAAATAAACTCAAAAGTAAATAAAATGGCCATCTGATTCAAGGTCAGTGGCTTGCAGACAGCAGTCTCTGTCCTCTGTCTAAAGCTCTAGCTAGGAGGTTGGAATATACGCCTTGTCAGCTGTGCTATTCCTCGCATGCCCCTAGCAAAGAAGAAGGCTGCCCCGAGGTCAGGGCGAGCTGCCCTCCGTGGTAGGCGCCTATCCCGTGGCCCATGTCTCTCTCTCCTACCAGGTTCGGAGCATTATACGTGATTATTTTAAAAAAGAAATGATGTTCTTACGGATACAGCTGACGCTTTCGGGTTGGGGCCGTGGAGAGATCTGGGTCTCGTAGGTGACTTTACTGTTGTCAAAGAGAAAGACGAGGTCCATGTCCAGGGTGCGGCCCTCATTCAGCTGCAAAGCGACACGAGCGAAATGAGATCCTGTGGACCGAACCCCTCCTTTTTCCATGTAGTAACGAAGAGACCTCGGAGTGTTTCCCTCTGTTTACCAACAGCATCATCTTCAGCCAGCAAGTACTAGGCACTTGTCTTGCCCCTACTTCCTTTTCCTGTTCCTTACTTGTTTATCCCAATGTACACCTTATTTACGACTTATCACATTCTATTTTATTCTATGGTTGTCTTTTGGGTGCAACTTAGACATTTTCTATCTCCTTTCCTCTCCAAGAATCGTTTCTTACATGCTAACTTCAACAGCTGGCAGGGGGCGGGGGGCAAGGCAGGGACCATGTCTTTCATTACTATGATTGTCAGCATTTTTGTACACAAGGGGTGCATCGTGAATAGTTTTGGTTGACTTGGAAAAATGAAGCATCACTTTGATGACAAAGGTGAAATAAAGGTACTCTAAGTGGTCTGGAAAGTAACAAGTCAAGTGTGGAATGACTGGTGTCTCCTACTAGGTCACACAGGAGACCTTCCATTCCCACTTTAAAAAACCAAGCAGGTATCTGTGTGATGAACGGAAATGATAAAGCAGAGCTAAAATCTGAACCCGTCATTATTTTCCCCACCGACAAAGTCAGGAAAAAACTGGGCGTTCCGCAAGAAGCCAGGGGCTCACCTTGCCGTCTGAAATACACTGAGTGGCAGGCTTGTCGGGGATCAACGCCAGACCCGCTTCTTGCAGCAGCTCCTGGTCCTCCTCGGGGATTCCTGTGTCCTGCTGGATTCTGGTCTTTAAGCTCTGTAGACTCTCGTCCTCTGACACTGGATAGGTGTGAATGGTGCCTGTGACCATGTTCAAGATATGAACCAGCTGCAACACAACCCAGATGTTACTGGAAAATCCCAACTCTAAGATGCCCATCTCTTTGCCTGGATCCTCTGCCACTCCCAACACTTCCCAGCCACACAAAGGATAGCTCCCTAGCTTGAGGATGGGAGCCCTAGTGCCATGGTATATATACTCTAATCTTTAATATTCGTATTTGTCCATAGCTACAATCTTATAGCCTATGTCCGTCAGCACAGGGGTTCTATCCTCTACCTTATGCAGAGATACTCTCGGAGCAGCCAAAATTCCCCCACTGGTCAGACAGCTCATGACCTGTTTTTTAAGGAGCATTTCTTCCTCATAAGAACTGCTGTGTCCCGTGGGACCTGACCTGTTGCCTCCGTGCTCACCTTTAGGTTTAATATGCCATCCAGGGCCTTGAAGCAGCCGTTGGGCCCGTGCACAGGATCAGTGCCCCTTTGTCGAGGGTGCCACATCAGCATCAGCTGCAGCCACTTCTCCAGTCGCTGTGCCAGGACGCTGAGAAGAGGAGCACAGTGTAGGAGGTGACACCTCTAACTCGAATTTCAGGTGGCCTTAACGTGCGAACTGAAAAGCACACACCTTGCATGCATTTCACCATTAAACACACAGATGGCAGCCAATAAATGATCACTGAAAATCAATTAATCTGAGAGAAAAAGGGAATATTTCCAACCAAATTAATTACTCAGGTGCTTATCACCTCTCCTGATTTGCTAAAACACCCCTTCAAATCAGGGATTTCTCCACAGATGGGTCAACAGGCTGGTCTCCAACTGCCCACGCTTTTAAATGCACTCCAAAGGTGTGCCTGACCTCCAGATGGTCTCCACGCACAATCTAGACCCCGTACTGCACATTCGTTTATTTTTTTAATCACCTCCCTCAAAGGCCTTTGGTGGTCTCATACGCCTTCCCTTGGCCCTGCAGGCCCCCCACAGCCTGCCTCCTATGAGGTTGCAGCTGGCCTCTCACTGCCCCTCCAAGAAAGTCCTTTGCGAGGCCACCACAGCTACTGGCTGATTCCCTACACGTGTCTTTGCTCCCCCCAGCCTTTACCCTTTTAACTTTCTCTTTATCTCACCATGTCCTGCACATCTTTCCAGATCCTTCCATAAAGCTGTAGCTCACCCAAAGTCATTCCACATTAGCTCTAATCTATACAATACATCTCCCCATTCTCTAAATATCATGGTAGTTATTATCCATGGTACTCATGGATAGTATGACTGCCTGGTAGCTTTCTTTTGTACTATTACTCTTCATATTCTGGCTCTAGGATAAGATTATAATGCTGTTCAAATTACAACGGTTAATTTGTTGGCTATGACACAGTATTAGTAGGCTACATAAGGAGTGCAAAGAGAAAAAAGTTTAATTCCCTACCTTTAAAAGACTTACAGTTGAATAGGAGAGCAACTCAATGCAAAACCAAATGTAACACAAGATCAAAGCTACTGAGGGTAATAGAAGGTACAGAGACATTGTTATGGGAATTTAGAAAAGATCATTTCTAGATGGGGCAAGGAGTGGGAATCCATTCTAAGTTTAACACTGAGGTGGATTATGCCTAGTTCTTAGTTATAGGATGATATCCAGATTACCTATCTAAAAGCCATCAGGTGTCACCTCAGACATCTATTTCAAAAAGAGGAAAAAATTTGCTGAAGAAAAAAGCCACTGTACCTTACCTGTTAAGATTATTGGGGTAGGGTAAAGAGCTTGAAAATTTCACTGCTCCATTCAAGTCTTCAAACACCACGATGTCCATCTCACTCTTCTGCCGGACTTTGGAATGCCTGCAGACACGAGTTCTCGTTCATGACAGCCCTGCAGTCACTTCACAGACGAGAGCCGTTTTACATTTGTAATATGTCGCTTTACAACTGGACGGGACATGCCCAGGTCACTATTCTACCTTTTCAGCTAATGGCAGTGCGTGTGCACCCCGGTAGGAAGGCTGCTTGGAGAGTTCAAGAACGGTCAGTGCTGCCTGCACGCCTGGAGCCGCTAATGTCGTCCTTCCAAAGCACGATTACGGCACATTTCACACGCACAGGAAACGTGCACAGCACAGGCACGTCCCTCTAACTGCATACAGCTAAACATTACTTCTAGGGGTAAGTGTGCGTTTACATTTCCTGACTGAGAGAATTTATTAATGCATCTGAAATGGTATTTAAAGGAAAGAAATTTTAAATCCAACTGGTTTAAAATCTTCTTGGTGAAAAGGACAGTAATTTGAATTAGGCCTCACAAATAACCAAGTACTTTGACACTGAACAAGCACCTCCTTTACCATGGTAACCCCATGTGGTAGACATTGTTTTCAGTCCATTATCATTGGCAGGGAAACAGGGATCAGGTGATTTGCCCGAGGTCATACAACCAGAGAGTGGAAGAACTGGGGACTCAAATCCAAAGTCTGGTGTTCTTTCTACTCTGTTTGAATGTCTGAAGCTTTCCTTTCCAAAAACACCTAGGAAATTCAAATAAAAGTATCCGAACACATCTCATTGGTAAGGGGTGAACTGGCCGATCTGGGGCACACGGGAAACCCAGAGGAGCTGGCGGACGGCAGAGGCCGGTGGGTCACAGCTCTGGCTAAAACTGACCGCTGTACGTCAGGTACACCAAGACCTTGTCAGTACATTCAAGTGGGAGGATGATCCCCTAATAGAAAAGTTAATCTGTCAATGGAAAATTATAAAAATAAAAGGACATAATAAATAAAATGCTTGTTGCTTAGGTCCTAAAATGTGTTGCAAATTAGCTTTATAATCCTATGATAAAGCTGAAATTACATTTGTCCTAAAATTACTATCCACCTGCCATCTGAGATGAAAGTGAAATTTTAGAAGCGTTGTCTGAGGCATTACAGACCAGATAAGACGGGCACGTCTCACATACTAGGTCACTACACAGCTCCTTACTGGGCGTCAGAGGAATCCATTTGAAAGTGGTCACCTGGCCTTCCAGCCCCGATGAGGAGAGTTCTAGGAAGCCAATTCTGCAGACAACAGACTTACTATGAAGATGTTGAGCCTTTAGGAATGTACTTTCAGATAGCACTTGTTCTTCCAATTCTAATGGATTTTACCTCATTTTGTTATAATACTCGAAAAGGTCAACATTTGAACTGAAGAAATGCAGTAACTGCTTCATTATTTAAAAATACTGCAGCTGTACAGATAAAGTTTTCTTAATAATAGCTACAGTATAAAGTGTAACTATAAATTAACCAGCTAATTCCTCAATATTCAGAACCTATGCAGATCAACAAGCATTGCTTGTTTTAAAACAGGCCACCACAGGAGGGCATTCTTTGCCATTTCACCAGACTCCTCACGAAGAGCAAGGCCCTGGCCTCCTGCATCTTTGCACTTCCCACACCTGGTGCATAAAGGTTGATGGAAATGGGCTACCATCGTGTAACGCCACTCTCTGGAACAGATTTCAAAGGCTACATCTTATTCTCATAAATAAATATTCTCGTGACGTAAATACCTGCTTTTAAAAAACTTCTGTTTTTACTAGTTCCAGAAAGGTAGAGAAATGACAACAGCCAGTGCTGGCAATGGCGGGGTGAAAGGGACAGCTTTGTGTACTCCTGGAGGAAATGGTACTAACGCAACCTTTCTGTTAAGCATTCTGTTAATACACATCAAAAACCTTTGAAAACGTGCACTGTCTTTGTTCCATTTCTAGGACTTTATCCAAGGGAAAAGTGACTGTGCCTATATAAGGACTTCCCTACCAGGATGTTATTCTTGGTGTTATTTTACAAAGTAAAAATTGTAAACCACCCACGTTTCTAACAATGGAGGGTGAGTTAAATGAGCTATAGCATGGGCACTCTGTAGAATAGCAAACAGACATCACAAATAATACGGGACAACATGAAGCATTTTCAATAATAAGTTTGCAAAGCAGGTTCTATGCAAGTACGTGATTTATTTGTGTTTTGAGGGGAGTCTAACACACACCGAAGAGCCTGGAGACACACAAAAGTGTTCACAGTGGTTGTGTCTAAGGAGGGAAGGAAATGTTCACGGTGTTAAACTGCCTTAGAAGCATGTACAGGGCAGAGTTCTTACTACGCCACCTCTGATGTAAAAGAGAGAGAGAAACACATTCATGAACAAACACACAAACACATGCCGATGCACTTGTATGTGTGTGAAACCAGGTGGCTGGGAAACTAGTCAAGGTGACTTGTCACTGTGTACTCTCTCACACTTTTTGCAGTTTGAACCTTGGGAATTTATGACTGCTCCAAAAAACTAAAAACTGAAAATTAAAAAAGAAATTTGAGCGACAGTAGCATTGTTTAAATTAGGGTGTGGCCTTTCAAGGAATAATTCTGAATGAAACCTAATTAGGAGAATGTTAATTTTTAAATTACGCATGTCCGTAATGATTAACTTTTATAAATATATTATGGTCAACACATTTTTTAAATCAAGAGAGTCAGAGAATATAGAGTAATTTTAAAAACTTAATTGTATCCTTTGGTTTTTTACTAGAAAATCTTTGTAACTTATTTGGCTCACATTTTAAGCCACTTTCTTATACTTTTAATATAAAAAAATTATATTCAGGTGTAGTAAAATTTGTCAACAGTAAATTTTCATACAACTATTTCCCATTTGTCTTGTGCACACACCTTTATCTGTTTACTAATACACAGATTTTTCAGGTAAGCACACACATTTGCATAACTGTGAATGTGCTGACTTGTTGCTACTGAATGTAGGGCGAATGTCATTTATATCACATCATATTTAAAGATGCTAATACTTAACAACTGCCCTACTTTCCTAGATTTTCAGAGCTTGAACTGCCCACAGGCTGGACTCCGACAGGACTTTCTCTCTGGAGACAGATCACAGATGTCTCAGGCTGAGCCTGGGAGCACCCAGGGAGATGGAAACAGGTAAAGTGACACGACAAAGACAGAGGGACACACTGCTTCAGGAGACTCTCCTGGCCCCTATCCCAGGGCCGTGGTCTCTCACTCACCACTGCACAGGCTGCCAGTTGGGGAGGAAAGGCCGGAAGCCCGTGATGCACTCGAAAGCCAAGGTGCCAAAGCTCCAGTAGTCGACGGTCACTGTGTACTTTTGCTGCTCCAGCAGTTCTGGGGCCTGCAACGACGCAGGCGGAAACACACCTGAGCCCCTGCGAGAGGAGGCAACCAGCCCTTCTAATCACACCCCACACTTCTCCCAGCTCCATCCAGAAGATACTGGCATGTCCATTCAGGGGTGAGGAGGTGACTGTGTTTAGGTGGTGTTATCTAGATTTTTCTGTACCTCATTGACTCCTGATGCTGACTCAAGAACCCCTAAGGGTACTTTTAGATAGATCAGAGTACATCATATACCCTTCTCTTGGGCACTGTGTAGAGACGGGAAGATAGACTACACACAACAGAGAAAGATGATACTGAGCTGTACACACCAAATGCATAACACACGCATTAATGCTAACCAAATCTCCGAAACTGATGTGGTTTATGATATGTGGTGTGCAATGAAATGCAATAGTTACAATCAGGCAAGAAAGAAGCCAGAAGCATGACTGCTGCCCAAGTAGAGAGAGCTGGGGTGACCAAGGAAAGCTTCAAAGCGCAGGTGGGGCCACACCCGGGCTTGGAAGAAGGCTCCCTGGACATGAGTGTCTGAGAGGAGACATTCCAGAAAGGACCATCACAAGCAAAGGCATGGGGACAGGACTGTGCATAGTCTGGTTGGAGATGTGACACTATGGAAGGGCCAAGGAGTCCAAACCAAGAGGAAGAATGGAGGGATGGTCAAGTCAATCTCTGTGTCCAGTTATGCACAGAAGTTTGGCTCCTGCAAGTAAACGATCTCACTGAGCATCCTGGTCAGAGCATGGGGTGCCCCCTCCACTGAACTGCTGCGGAGTCGATGAGGATCCCAGAGGACACTCCGCAGGACCTATGTGACTGCATCATATGGACCCAGGTGCCTGAATCCTAGCGCCCCATGAGTCACCACTCTGAACCTCTATCCCCTAGAGAGGGTGATAAACTGATGGAACCCATCCCCTAGTTGGTGGGATCAGTAGGAAGTATAAATGCACTCAGAAAGACTTCAAAGAGTTTCCTTTTTTTTTTTAATATAAGAACTAAATGGGATATTTAAGCTCATCAAATCTAGTGGTTTTCAACCTTTTTTAAAAATTTTTGTCTTTTAAACTGCAGGCTCCTTTATTCAGTCACCATTTTAGTGGTTGTTATCATCCATAAGCAATCTACTGTGTTTCCAAGTCTTGCTATGTCTCTTGGTACGCATGGCTGAAACTGTTTCTATGTCCTCACTGCTGCCATCAGCTCTGAACTTCTGATCACAGTGTCCCATTACTACTTGCCCATAATTTTACTCTTGTTCAGTGAAATTCATTTTCCCACCCTATCAAGAGTGAGCTTTTCAAAAGGTGAACCTGATCCCTCTCTAACTTAAAACCCTTTGATGTCTCTCCAGAGGTTTCAGGAGAAAGTCTAAAATCTTGAACCCAGCCAAAAAGGCCCTGAATCATCTGTCTTCTACCTCTTTCTCCAGTTTCAACTCAAGATACTCTCTTCCTTCTTCTCTAGGTCCCAGCCATACTTTCTGGTCTCCCAATGTACTATCCCTTTGCCCAGGATTTCCTCTTCCTCCTCCTACCTCCAGCCCCTTTTCACCTACTCATCCTTCAGGTCCCACACTAGGCTAGGTCTTCCTAATATATATTCTTGTCACACCCTGCACTTTTCCTTTGCAGCACTTATCACAACTGTAATTTCTGAGTTATTGTTATAAATTTTAGGGTAATGCCTACTTTCTTGCTAAACTCTAAGCTCCTAAGGGTCAGGGAAATGCTTGTCTTCTTTCCCAATGCCTCGCCAGCTCCTAGCACAGTGCCTGGCCCAGAGGCTACCCTGGATCACTACTTCTTGAGTGAATGAATGACTCAAATAGAACCACAATATTCAGACCAAATACTGTAAAGAAAGGGTGGGAGCTCAGAACTATCAGCTCCTCCTCAGTGGCCCCTAAGACACCTCATGGAAACTGTGGCCTCTATGGAGCAGTACGGATCTAATTTAAATTCTTTATCTTCAGTCAAAACCCTGAAGCACAGGTGTTACTGGATCTGTGTGAGGACACAGTAGCAGAGCCCTTCTGACATCAGAGACGATGACCATAATCCTTCCACCGGGCCTCTGCCAGCAAAGTGCTGACTTGACCAGATTATGGCTCTGACCTCCTACAACAGTTCCTGCACATCTAGGAAACATCCAGAGCTGGAAAGACTTAGGTGCTGGGAGGCAAAGATACAGAGAAGCCCATACACATGGCCACCGGAGAGAAACTGATCAGCAAGCATGTAAATCCTGTTTCTTACCAGGTACTGCAGGGTCCCCACAAAGGAAGTACAGAGACTGCCCTGATCCAGTTCCTTGGCATATCCTAGGTCAATAATTTTGTGTATTAACTGAAAAGAAAGGGGAAGAGGAGAAAGTTGAGGATTGTGAGTATACATCGTACTCCTATACAGATTCTGATTTTTTGCTGACAGAGCAGGGGATATTTCTTATCTGAGGTGTTACTAAATCCTAACTTCCTAAGAACCACCAAATACACAGTAGGACATCTTCAACATGGTAAATTTAGGGCAAAAGGAAACAAACATATGCTATAAAAACGCTGGGAAAAAAAGGGGATATGTCGTTCCTTGCTCTGTGACCCATCACCAAAGGAAAGCCAACATTAACAGACCACTGGCCCTCAACATAGTTAAACTTGGACTTCAGGATGTGAAAGACCAGGCCGGTCCCTTCTCAGAAGTAAATAAATTGGTTCTCAACTCTTAGAAGCAATGGCAAGAAGGAGGGTGAACTGAAACAAAGGTGAGCACGTGACCGTAGCGGGTCAGCCTAGAATGCTGACGGAAGCTGCATCAGAGAGATTAAGTGACCCCACTTGGGCAACTACATTCCTCTCGGCTGAGCCGCTGCTCATCACCCCCAGCAAAAAAAACAAGGCTGTGAAAAAGCACAGCACCAAGCCCCATTGGGAAGGCTACTGCCACACCTGCACAGCAGGGCCACCGAGAGCTCTGGGGAAACTGCAGGCTGGGCCCTGCTCTGTGGGCAGTTCCAAAAGCCTCTTCTCAGCCACATCCAGAACCAATTTAGAGCTGGTTTCCAAATTAGCATCAAAAGTGGATGCTTTCAAACAAACAGAAAACAAAAAAGTCTTTTTCTAAGAAGTGCTAATCCCAAGGATTTGGGGTTAGAGCTGGGAGGGAAAAACTCTTTTCCTTATCAGATTCCTGCAACTTGGCCAATTAACAATGTGATCCATTCAAACTTGCTTCAATTTGAAAGAAAGAGCTTTTTGCCAAATTTTGCTTCAAATAAAAAAGCATTCCCAGAGAATCAAAGCAAATATAACCTCAAGGGAATGCAGACATAAACAAACATGCAAGGCTTGTTTCTTCCCCACCAGAGCAGCTTCCCCGAGCCGGTCCCCAGGACCCTCCAAGTCCCAGGAGGGATCACTCACCCTCTGCTCTCCTTGCTGCAGGACGATGTTTTCCGGCTTGAGATCCCGATGAATGATTCTGTTTTCATGAAGATATCGAAGCGCAGACGCTGAGAGAGTGGAACGGGGAGTGAGTTTTCATTAAGCCTAAAAAAACACTTTTTATTTCAAAATATCCTATGCTGTGAAAGATGATTATTGTGTGCGCCTGACCCACAGTCTGACTCCCAGAGCACAGGCCCATGGCGGAGGGATGGGGCCGGGCAGATGCCCCTCAGGTGATGTAAAGGAGGCCTGGCTATGTAAGCAGAATTGGGATCATTAAGAATCTGGCTTTTTGATGCAAAGAACTATGAGATCATCGATACAGTCTAGAGCAGTGGTTCTCAAATTGCATTGCTTGGACCAGCAGCATCCAAACTCATCAGAAATGCAAGGTTGGGGTCCTACCTCAGACCTACTTAATCAGAAACTTTGGGGGTGATCCTGCAATCTGTGCTTTAACAAGCTCTCCAGGTGATGCTGATGAAGTTTGCAAAGGGAAACTTCTCTGATGTAGAGGCTCAAAACCCTAATTTCTACAGGGAGGAGTGCCCTCTGGGCAGAGAACATGTGCGTCATTGGATCTAGGCTCCAATTAAGGTCAGAGGCAGCCTCCAGGAAGAAGCGGGGAGCACTGAAGAAGAGGACAGGAGCACATTCAGCACATCTGACAGTTCGACATGTTTATTAAGCACCCAGTTGTCTGCCAGGTTCTGGGAAGGACATAAGGACATGATCCCCAACATTAAGGGGTTCAGAATCTAGTTGGGAGGGAAGAGCTGGCACAATACTGGCTTTGCAGTTACTTGATACGCACAACTTCTGCTGTGAAGAGGAAATCTGATCATGATACCCAGGAGGGGCAGGCACCGAGCAAAGGCGGTGGGGGACGGGGATGTCCATCTACAGCTCAGACTCCAGGCAGGATGTGATTTTTTTTACTCGTAAGGCAGGTTCCAATAACTCAACAGAAGTCCTAGCTAATCATACTACAAAAGAAAAAAATGGAGTAAGTATCCAAAGGAGATAAAATTATCTTTATTTGGAGATGATATGACTAGATGCCTAGAAAATTCAAAAGGCTAAAAACTGGAAAGAATTCAGTAAGTTATTTGGAAACAAAACAGGTATATGCAAGTCAATAGCTTTTCTCTATGTCAGTATATCTAGTTGAAAAAAGAAAAATAATGTCATTCACATTAGCAACAGAAACTCTAAAATAAAATACCAAGGGATAAATTTAGCAAAAAAAAAAAAAAAAAAGTAGGTGAAGAAAAGTATATGGGAAAAAGAAAAGCAACACAAATAACATAGAAAGGGTTTAAAAGTTTATGGCAAAAGATACTATTCACAAAGACAAAAGGGTTGGGAAAAAAAATAAGCCAAAGAGTAAATATACCTAATAGACAAAAGCTCTCATAAATCCATGAGAAAGCAACACAGTGGAAAAAGAGGAAATTCACAGAAGAAAGACAAATGGCGACACACAAAGCTGCCCCAGGTCACAAATAGCCCGAAGGGTGCGAATTAAAGCACAGTGAAATAAATGCCTTTCTCACATTTTCAATGGACAAAAAATTTAGATGAGAAATAGAAGGCACTTCCTTACATTGTTGGAAGGAGTAAAAGTTGCTGTGCCTTTTTGGAAAAAAAATATGGCAATATCTATTAAATTTTAAAATATACATGTTTAACCCATTTTTTCCACCTGCGGTAGTCTAGATTATAACATCAAAAGCATCATAACATACAAATAAGGATGCTTATTTCATACCTTGCAGTGAAATAGCTAGAAACAAACTGAAAGTCATCAACCACAGAATGGTTGAACAAATTCTGGTAGATCCAACTTATAACAGGCAACTGTTTTAAAGTCAGTTAGGTTTACAGATGATATAATTCAGAGATAGACAGCACAACTCAGGAATGTTAATGACACACTTCAAGTTAATGGTATGATCTGTGTTTTTGCTCAAAAAAAAAAAAGTCAAAAGCAAATGCAATAACAACACTAAGAGAGGTTTAACAAACTCATCAAGCCAGACTGAGAATGAGGGCGAGCCAGGGAGGTGGGCAGCCCTCTGGCCCCATACAGCAGTTCCTGTTGCTCTGCAGAGCAGGAGAATGGCCTTCCATAGGAAGCAGGGATCAGACACCCTACACAAAGGCCTTCAGGCTGAATGTTTCCTGAAAACACTTGAAAGTCAAACCGGGCCAGCTGAACAACTGACTAATATCTGATTCAGGCAGTTCCATCTCAGAACAATATGTGATATTACAAAACCGAATTACATCTGCCCTTTTAAACCCAGCCTTTGACCATAAAGTTCCAGCAATTCATACTTGCTCCTGGTTTTTCTTCTCTTTCATAACTAAATAGATCCACTGACTGTCCAAATGAAGTGAGAAATATATTCTCTATTGTATTAACTTTTACAGACCAATGCTTCTTAATGAACTTTCACTTTTGTTTTACTAATTTTATTAAAGAATCAAAGCAAAGTATAATGAAAGACTGTAATAATTGCATAAACACAGCCTTGCACACAGGGATGGTGTAACTGCTGAAACTGAACCAGTGGCTGGCAGGTAGTACTGATGTGCAGCGATTCCGTGTTCAGTGACCAGTTCACAAAAGGCCTGTTGGGGAGATGACACGAGTGTGAGGATAGAATAGATAAAGTGTGAGTTGATGTGCTCAAAAGCAGAATGAAAGAAAGTTGAGACTCCTGTATTTTGAGCAAGCATATATACTCAGACTAAAATAAAGCCTCTGAAGGTAGATGTGAAAATCTCAGTGCAAACAGCACGGGGCACAGGCAGGTGAGATGTCCCAAGCAGCCCCCCAGTGATGGAGGAGAGCAGTCAGATCAGACTGAAAGCATCGTTCTGTATGCCGTGCTGATTAAGAGTTGTCAGCAAAGCTTTAGTGATGAGGGATGACAAGCTGATCACTGAATCTGCTGATTACTATTAATAGCTGTCTTTTCTAATGCTCAAGCAACAGTACATAACTACCTTTAATCCTCATTTTGGGGCACTCATGTATTCTCAAACATTTCTGTCAACTTAAACTTGAAAAGTAAAGAATTCTACAGATATTATTATATTCAGTTTCTTGGATTGAATAAAACATCAAAACTTTGATAGCCAAGACCTCTTAAATAGTTCCCCTTACAGAATCAGTCCTTAAAAATCTTAGGCTGGCCTGACTATGCTACACTTCACAAAATAGTGCCTAAAGAGCATCCTGAAATGAATCAAAATTGTCTGAAGCCAAAAGAACTTGATTGGATGAAAAATAAGAATTTGGGATGAAGAAAAATAGTTTTGCATTTGAAAGTTTATTTAAAAACCTAAACTTCTACCAATAGTCATAATATACATGTATAAAAATTAAATCCCACAAGCTTTAAAGCCTAAAAGTTCATTTCTCATGTTTTAAGTATAGAAAAGGATTCCTAGGACAGATGTTGCATATAGAGAGTTCAAGTCAAGGACCTGCCATAGGAAAAGGGTCGCCTCCTCCAATTGTCCTCTCCAGGACTGGCGTCCAGACATTCGCCCCAGCTTTCCCTTAGCTCGTGAGGTAGACGAACCCGTGACTGAAGAATTCGGCACTCCCGGAGTTCTTATTGATGAACCAGAATCCAAAATCAGAGCTTCTGTACACTTTATCAGATTATAAACCACAAAGTAGGGAACAGACTTCTTTGTAGAAAACCAGTTTTATAAGGGTTGTGTCTATGAGCCCTAGTTACTACATTCCAAACTCAAAGGGGTTACTAAGTTCCCTGAAGAACATTTTTGTTTGGGATACATTCTAGGGACAGGAAATGGGAAGATAAATGGACCAAAAGGCTGACGGAGATTAAAACAGACAGAAAAGGCAGTCACCGATTGGTGATTTAAGTCACCAATGAGTAAGAAGGGCAACAGGATGTTCGTTCACTCAGTAAAAATTGACCATGTGCCTACTATGTGCCAGTCACTTTGGTGTCACTGAACTTTCCAAAAAAAAAACAGGTTGGAAGGCCAAGTGCAGACATGTGGAGGAATATTTAGTCTCAGCTAAAATAGTCCCTATGACTAATCAGCAAGGCAGTCACACCAAGTGCTAAGAGAAAAGTGAAAACTCATCCTCTCATCCATTCAACTAGTAAGTAACTTATAAAGTGTCTTCTATTTGTTAGGCGTTATGGACAATGTGTCAGTGAATCAAAATATTTTCTTCACTTACTGCACAAAGTTTGGTCAATGGGCCCCAAGCCCAGAGGTCAGGCCTCACTGTCAACCACAGGCAGAGGGCACATAACAACAGCAGAGAACTAAGTGAGTGGCGAAGGCAAAATAGGGGAAGGCCGTGAAAGCCCTAACTGGCATGGCTCAGTTGTTTGGGCGTCATTCTGCAAAGCAAAAGGTCACCGGTTCAATTCCTGGTCTGGACACTTGCCTGGGTTGCTGGCTCAGTACCTGGTCAGGAATGAGTGAGAGGTGGCTAACAGATGTTTCTCCCTTCCTCTTTCTCCCTCCCTTTCCCTCTCTCTAAAAGTGAATAAATAAAATCTTAGGGAGGAAGGGAGGAAGGGAATGGAGGAAAGGGAGGGAAGAAGGCAGGGAGCCATGAGAGGGAGAAGCACTGTGAGTGAAGGGTCAGGGAAGTCCCCATGGAAGGGACAAGTCTAAAGCCATACCTGAAAGACAACAAGGCTTAGGGTTGCTGGGGAGGTGCAAGAGCAGCATTCTCAAAGGAAGAGCAAGTGCAAAGGCAAGCAGGAGGATCGAAAAGTGGGTTTTTGAGCCATGTACATGTGAAGTTGGCTATAGTGGATCAGAAGAAATGTAAGGGTAAGAGGTTTGGCCTTGACCTAATGATGGATTATGATACAAGTGTCCTTGCAAATGAAAGACGGGTTAATGAAATGAGATGGGGAGGTGAGGTAAAGGGTCATTACAGTAATTTGCTATGGCCAATTAGTGAAGACAGTAGGAACAGAAAGAAAAAAAGAGACATACAACATAATGGAAGACTGAAAGTATTTGAAGGCTTTTTATTTTTACTTTGTTTTTTATTTTAAAATTTTTTTCATTTATTGAAGAGAAATGGCAATTTGTTGTTCCACTTATTTATGCATCCATTGGTTGATTCTTGCATGTGCCCTGACTGGGATCAAACCCACAACCTTGGTGTATGTGGATGATACTCTAACCAAACGAGCTACCCAGCCAGGGCATGTTTGGAGACTTTTAAAACAGAAGGGTATAGAGCAGGAAGAGGGGCAGAGTCTAAGAGATGAGGTTCACAGTTGGCAGAAAAATGGGACAAGTGACACAAGAAAGAGATCGGAGTTGAACATACAAATTTTGGAGATGTGGTTGATATAGATGTCATGAGAATGGCCTGGCAGTGGGCAGCTGGTCCAGGGATGAATAGGACGGAGCAAAAATTAAAAAACACATCCAGCAAAGCTCTGGGCAAGAGACGATGCAGTAAGAGAGAAGGGAGAGAAAAAAACTGCCCAGGGAAGCAGTCAGGATGGGAAAATGAAATAAACATCAAGACATTCTGGGACAAACATTCTGAAAATCAGCCACTTGAGTAAAGGAAAGGGAATATTTAGAGTCAGAAGGGATCTTCTCTAAGGTTATCAATAGACCAAATTCCTCATTTTAAGTTGAGGACATGTAGTCCCAGAAAGTTACCATAGTTTTCCGTTAGAAAAGGTAGATTTAGACCAAAAAGGTCCTTGAACAAGGAGAAAGAGCTGGGAAAGTGGAGAAGCCAGCACTGAAAGACAGTTTTCTTCTATTATAATATTCATAAATCTGGTTGTTTATGCTTTCCAAATGATCTAAATTTCTGAGATCAGGTAATCCTCTTTTGTTATAAACCCACAATCAGAGAGACACTAAACAGAGAGCCCCATTTCCTGATTTCTAGAATGGAGCTACTCCCTAAAGCCCTGTGTTCTCTTTGAAACCTCTCTGCTCCTCGGTGCTGCAGCGCTGACCCTGCCAGGAGCCACTCCCGTGAGGACAGAGATGGGGACCCGAAGAAAGAAGCTCGGACAAAAACAGGGTGTGGGGCTCCCGAAGGCTCGGAGGACAGGATGGCCAGTCACCACAGTAACCCAACCACCTGGAGAATCAGGGAAGACTGAGTCAGATCCAAGATCAGATAAGGCCCTGGCAAATTCACAACCGGCCCACACAGCTGGCCCCGAGGAAGGGGGCAGGTCCCCACCCCCAGAGAGCAGAGCCATGGTACTCTGGAGCACGGTAATCTGTACCTTAATCTTGAGTGCCCAGGAGTCTGCTCCTCTACTGGCAGAAGGAAACACATGTCAATGTTTTCCAAAGAATAATGAGCAAGACTGTTTCAATAGAATCCATTTAGGTACCGCTTTCTGGAGCTATTTTAGGATCACATTAGGTGGAAGACAAATAATTTCCAGCCGCTTCTGCCCCTGCCTCCTGTTCTCTTACCAGCATAAAAGCAATGGTCTGGCGGAGAAAACAGGGCTCACCCACGTGCTCACCGGGCATCTGCTCATTTTCTCACATGTACATTGATTGCAATAGCTTTTTGGGTAACTTAAAGTTCACTGGAGAAATCCTGCCTGTGTCTATTATCTTGGCACTGCTCTGAGTGGGCGTCTAGGGGAGGTTAGTGGCACAGAAGATATGGGGGGTAAACAGGCTTAACCCAGAAGACAAGGCAATGAATCCGGACGCAGCAGTCAAGGGTGTGGCTCTGCCACTTATCTGAGGTTGACCTGGCAGAGAACAGAAGTGGCAACTCCAACAAAGGGAACGTGGCGCCAGCACTTGAAACGAGCTGGAACAAAATATGCTCAGGAAATGTTTCAGAACACAAAAGAGTAATGTGAGATGAGCTCCAAAAACAGCTTTGGACCTTTGGCTTGGTGACAAAATTCTTGCAAAAGAAATAAATTTGATGAATCTTGTATACAAATCAGATATGGGAACAGGAGCAAAATACAAGCTTATCAGCCACGTCCACCACAACCGCAAAGTTAGGGGACGAAAGGACATCCAAAAGCTGGCTGAGACAGAAATGGGTCTGAGGAAGGGAAGTGTCATAAGAGAGCCACCTGCTTGGCTCACTGGATCCCAAGCTCAAGTCAACACCCAAATTAGCGGGATGGAGGTTTTTCAAAAGGGGTGTTATAAATCCAAAGCCAGAGAGCGAAGGAACTGAGAGAGGAACTAGAACTCGCTGAGTGCACATTCTGCCAGGAGCAGAGCACTGTGCCAGGAGCTGTAGGTACATCGTCTCACTTTATCCTCATAACAGTTCTAATGAGGCAAGTAATGGTTCCTCTTCATAGCCAGCAAAATCGATGTCCTTAAAAATTAAGTCACATGCCTATTTTCACACTGCCAATAAGTGGAAGAGCTGGTATTTGACCTGGGAGTGTTACGTATATGTGGATATGTTCTTTTTTAATAGGTCCTTACTCATTTTAATTTTCCTTGAGATTTAATTCATTCATGTCAGGAATATTTACAGAGAAGCAGCTATGTAAGGTTTTACTGTTCCGCACGTTGGAGTTATAGCAGTGACTAAAATCTCTGCCTGCAAGAATTTAATTCTAGTGTACTAATACTTCAAAGCCTCATCATTTCCCATTTGGGGCCACAAAGAGGAAAGACAGGGAATCGGTGACCTAAAGAATTTTAATATTCATCCACCTATAAGAGAGCTGAACAACACAGGCCCGTGGGAGTTTGCCTGTCTGAGTTGTTCTGACTTATGTGGAACTTAAGCCACATATACAACTTGAACAGGTAATCAGTAATATGAAAGCTACCCCACAAGTCATTAGTGACTGGGTACACATTGTGCCCAGACCCAAGAATACACAACCAGAAGAATAAGCTCTATTACTATCATTAGAAAATCTCTTGAAGTACAAAAGTTATATGGAGTTATAACAAAAGTTATAAAAGTTATATGTACCTAAGTCAATAATTTAAGACATTTGAATAACTATCTGCTGAATGCACAAGTGTGTAAAAGAAAAATATTTGAGAGCATAATGTTTAAAAAACAGCAGATAGTTAAAAAAAAACTTGAAGCTCTAACCAGGAAAAAACAAAAGTTGCCCATGAAGAGCAAAAGAATATTTCCCAAGTTAACAGAGGATAAATTAACAATCTGGCTACTGGGAAAAATACAACCCACCAAATATCTGAGCAAAATGTAGATGGGCAAGCCATGCAGCAAGGTGCCAAGAAAACAGGTAGATTCTTGACCCATGGGATAGACCCCACAGGTAGACAGACAGGACCCTCCGTAGGTCCACATGGGCCAACGCACAAGAGAACCGGTCAGGTAGAACCGGGGCGATGTCAAATTGCACTCACTGTGAACTCCATTCAAAGGACAAAGACACAGCACAGAGGGGGAGACGGAATTTTCTGTGTCAGGTTGTTTGGATCCAAACCTTAAACATGTCACTGCGTGACTTTGCCCCACTTTATTTTCTTCTTTCCCACCTTTCACCAAAAGTGGCAAAGAGCAAGGAAGAAGCAGATCCACAGCAGCGAGGCGAAGTGTTTTAGGGACATGAGGCCCCCCTATCCTTCCAGGCCAAGACTTAGAGCTTGTGGCAAAATGGTAACAACTGGTGAATCTAGACGACAGGCACGTGGGTTTCACTGTACTACTCTTTTCACTTTTCTGTATGTTTGACATTTTTCTAAAAACTAAAGTGTCAGCAAACAAAGTGCAGCTTCAAAAAGGTTGCAGTGAGAAAAGGATAAAAAGGGTTTGTATATAATTCCCCAAATCCCTGGACAATACTCAGTGATAAACTCCAGACAACTCTGAACTTTAGATCTCAAATGGTCAACTTGTGCCAACAATCTTGGAGATTAAAAATGATTCTTCTCTCAAGAGGCCTGGGAAGCCCCTCTGTCAGTCGCGATGTCTATCTCACTAGGCTGGAGCCATGGGCCGACTGGCTGCAGAGTTCCCCCTCTGGGTTGCCTCCTGGAGCAGGCGCCAGGGTCCAGGGCATGGCTTCTGCCCTCTGCAGTCTCCCCAAAGCCAGCCCGGTCTCCCCAGAGAGTGCCGCACATACCCTCATCTGAGGACACCAACAGTACGAAAGGATTAAAAAAGGGCAGTTTTTCCTGTGCCTGTGGTTGGCAAAAGAACTGCCAGCATGGAAGTGGAAACATTTGTTGCCAAGGGATGAAATTCATCCAAATGACAACCTACTCCATCACGGTCATTCCAGGAAAGTAGGGAGTAGAGCTTTGTAATGGGAAAGGAAATCTGTTATTCTATATATATTGTAATCCACTTCATGACTTAGTCCGGAAGGAAGAGAACTCTATTTGAGTTCAGTGCCTGGCTCACTGGCCCCTTACTGCCCTCCTCACTGTCATCCCTCAACCAAACCCTCTGCAAAGACCAGAGGACCAAAATGTCGCCTCTCCTGTAGGGGCGACAAGGACTCACAGGGGCACCACATACTCTCTCTGCAGGGCTCGGCCTGACTTCCAGGGCTGGGATTTACCAATGTCACTCAGCAAGGTGAGGATGGCTCCTTCCCGTAGGCCACAGCAGTTCTCAAACTGGTTCAGGTACTGTCAAGAAGATAAAAATAAGTGTCAGCTGAGTGGTCACCAGCCACCAAGAAGCCCCTAAACAGCTCTTGCCAGCTACAGACAGTCATCTGAGTGTGGTCCCGGCCCTGGGCTTTGGGGACCCAAGCTGACAGCCAGCCTGGGGAAGCAGGACTGGCAGAAACCAGCCCAAGACGAAGGAGGAAGCTGAACTAAGAACCCCCAAAAGCACTCATTTCCGCAAGCAGAGGTGTCTGAGTCATTCTGTGATGAGGGATTTTCAGTCTCACCTGTGCTGCTGTTCTGAGGGAGACGGGACAGTCTAAGCTCAGCCACAATTGGTCCACTGCTCCTGAGCATCCCGCAAAAGGCAGGATGGAAGGCAGTCACTAAAACCGCCCTCTGACCACTTCCTGACATCACCTTGCCAGTGGGGTGATGATGACAGGGGGACAGGGGGAGTATTTAATAAGTATTTACTATGTGCCTGGCACCAGGCTAACCTCTGCACAAATTAGCTAGGTAAAGCTTTACCTGAAATATCTCATTTCATCCTCCTCACTACCACAGAGGCAAGTGCTGTTGGAATTTCCATTTCATAGATGAGGGACCTGAGGCTGGAGGGAGTCATTCCAGGCAGAGCTGGTATTCCTACTGGAAGCTATGTGTCTCTGAGACACTTAATCCTTTGGCCCTCCTGGCCCTCTCAGCTTACCAAGGGGCTCAATATACTGTTGGCAATTGGCCTCAAATGAACACAATGGAGAAAACACTCCCCAACTGAGGTTTACAGTCATTAACGAACATTGATAACCAAGAATGTCCAAGAGCCTCTTTCCCGGGCCAGGCATATGGACTTCACTCTTTCAGTCTGATCTAGCTTTTACATCTGCTAATGTGCTGGCCAAGCTTGTCTCTCTATGACCAGGGTGTAGATTTTGAACTTTTCTGAGAAGGCAAAGACAGGCTACCTAGTCTGGAGAATAAGATAACCCCATCGCTCTGGGCAGCAGCACCCTCCTCCAGTCCCCACCAACCCCACCCCATGGGAACACTACAGAAGGGGCCCCTTAGGGTGCAATCACTTCCTGCCTCCCCAGCTCATCCTGCACCCACGCCAGGGCCATCATCCTGAAGTGGGTATCTTCTTCCCTGACTAACTGGCTCTTTATCGCCTGCGAGATCAAGTCTGAAGTCCTCTGCCCAGTTTTAGGGCTCCCCATAATGTGGTCACATCCCACCTATCCCCTATTCTGCCCTCTAAGAACCATCTGTTCAACTACGACATAGTTTTATCTCCTTAAATAACTACAGTTAGTAATCACATAATTGTCAAAGGTTAGGAAAATAAAGAGGAAAACTGACGCTTGGTCATGTTCCCCATTTCTCATCTGTTATCAGTGCCCTGCCTGTGGCCATGCCAGCGACTGTGTTCACATCCGGCTATGACACTCCCAGGATGCACCCACCTCCCACGGCAGGAGAAAGCTACTGCGGTGGACCAACCCTCATGGAAAGCTTCCTTGTCAAAAAGAAGGTGGAAGGGGCCGGAAGAGCAATGAGAACAGCATATGTGCTGGGTCCAGGAAACTGCTGTGACAAGACAGAAGAAATGCCTGGGTGCCTCCCGCCCCAATATCATGGACCTTCTTCTGGCGTGAAGAGCTTAAGGAGATGTGCACTGACAGAGAAACCTCTTCCTCAATACAAAAACAACTCTTCTTTCCCAATCCTCCCCTGAAGATATGTTTATTGATTTTAGAGAGAAGAAGGGGGTGGGGAGAGAGAGAGGAACATCAATGTGAGAGAGAAACATTGATCGCTACCTCCAGTATGTGCCCTGACCAGGGATCAAACCCACAACCTAGGGGTGTGCCCCAACAAGGGATCAACCTGAAGTCTTCTGGTGTTCAGGACTATGCTCCAACCAACTAAGCCACCTGGCCAGGATGCAAAAACGACTCTCTTGTCCACAGCTTTTAATTTTCCCCATGTTATGTGGCATTATTCAGTTTCACAGATGGAGAGGTGGCCATCTGTGGCTGCGGCCCAAGTTCTGCCACTGCAGCTGTGTAAGGCTTGGGAAGCACTTAACCTCTTTGGGCCAGGATAGTCACCCTTTACACAAGAATCATATCAGTTTTACCCACGTCACGGGGTTGCTGTGTTTTCCATGAGGCCATGTGTAAAAGCAGGTTGCGTGATGCTGTTTTAGAGAACGTCAGGGGGTAGACACGCACCACTGTCCCTGAGATGAGGGAGGTGTGCCGTCACCCACCCTGGAGCGCCCATGCTAGTAAAGAAAGCAGATGTGCTAAGAAGGAAGAAAGCAGAGCCCAAAAGGTGACTCAGTGGTGGCTCTGGAACGATAGCTGGGTTCCCGGGTTACTAAGCCAGCCCCTTCCTGCTGTACGCTGTGACCCTGCAGGCGCCACGTCTGTGGGAGAGTCCCTCCTAATAAGGACAGCAGTGACGCTGCCATGAAAGACTGCAGTGGCCCTGACGTGCGCAGGAGGACAAGTTTGTTTTGGAATGTATCCAGTCTTTCCCTGTACTCGAGACCTGGGGGTTGTTTCCTTGTGCTTTCAGTAATCACTGTGAAGAGCATACAGCAAGCCCTTCCCTGACTTTCTCGTAAGAGCTTCTGATTCAGTGTCTTGATTCACACCCACATTGGGCATGGACGGGGGATTGAGGGAGGAAAGGCAATCCGCTGAAGTCACCATGGCTCCCTGGGCTTCCTGGTGATGAAAGCGGTGAAAGGCCTCCCCACTGCCCCTACCCAACCCCCCCGCCCCAGACAGGCTGCGCCCCACCTGGGAGCCTCACCTTTCGGAGATCTCCTCCTTGGCAGTACTCCATGGCCAGCAGGGGCAAGTCGTTGGGAGCCAAGTTCTGCATCCCCTCGGGGACATCCCGGGCGGCCACCACATTGGGGTGGTTGAGCCTAGGAGAAGATATCAGTGAAGGAGGAACCCAAGCTTTGGCTCAAACCCATTCCTCACTCTGTCCATGTCTCAGCAAAGCCCACCTTACAACAAAGGCCTGGAATAGCCAAGGGCCCTCAGGAGTCAGTAGGAAGACAGAGGTCAGAAACCAGCGACTCACCGCTGTGCCAGGTCAGTTAGCATCCACCTAGCCCCCCTTTCAGCACCATGAACTCAAGGAGGCTGCCACAGCATCGAGTATAGCTTAAGTTTTATTTTGAGCGCCCCACATCAAGTCCTCGTTGGACTTGGAAACTGCTTCTAACACAGAGAAAGCAGAGGGACTTCCAATCTCATGCCATCTGAGCGGCGATGGTGAGTGTGTTGGTGTGTGCACACATATGCGTGTGTGCACGCAGACAAGGTCACACCTCCTCCCCTTTTTAAGAGGTTCGAGGAGGGAGCGACTGCTTGAGGTCTTCCAAGCTGACAAGGAAAGCTGTGGGGAGGACAGCACCCATCTAGGGACTGACAGGCTCTGTCTCCACATGGAGGAGTAAGTGTCAGCAATAGGTTCGCCGCAGTGGAATGTCACATGCCACCTTGGAATTGGAAATACAGGGGAAAAAGGATTTCTGTTAACCAAGGAAAATTCACTCGGATGGCTGTTTGTTTAAAAGTCCTTAGTACAGCCCTGACTGGTATGGCTCAGTGGGTTGAACATTGTCCCACAAACCAAAGGGTCTCTGGTTCAATTCCCAGTCAGGGCATATGCCTGGGCAGCAGGCCAGGTAGCTAGTTGGAGGAGTGTGAGAGGCAACCAATCAACATTTCTCTCACGCATCAATGTTTTTCTCCCCCCTTTCTCCCGCCCTTCCCCGCTCTCTAAAAATAAATGAAATAAAATCTTTAAAAATAAAGTTATATAAATAAATAAAAATAAAGTTCCTTAATACAACAAAAGAAAGTGACCAAAGCCCTTGACAAGACCTGGTGTTGGACACCAACTACCATGGCTCAGAAGTCACCTATGGCTCAGAAAGTCACCTACCAGTCTGGCTGGTACACTGACCGAGGGCTGAGACATGCAGGAGGTGGGACTGAAATGAGCAGCAGGAGGGAGCAGGCAGGACTCCCTCCAGATTTCATTTCAATGTCTCATGGCCCCTCAGTTCCAGCAGCGCCCATGTCCCCCCCGAAACCTCCCCCAGGGGTGGCTCTGTCAAATGGCTCAGTGTCCAGTGTACCAAGTCCTCACCTTCTCATGATCTGGATCTCCAGACACCACCGCTCTCGATTCCGGGGGCTGAGCTCCTGCCGGCATTGCTTGATAGCAATCTGCTCACCTGTTTCCTGCGGTGAGAGCACACAGGGGAAGCATCGGCACAGCCAATGACCAAACGCAGAGAAACCCATCTGTCAAATCTGAAACTGTCTCCCTGGTGCCCAAAGCACGGGCCATGGCTCCCGAGGCCTGCATATGCACGCACTGATAGACATCCCAAGTCACCTGCCAGCCCATCAGGCTAGTCTTACCCTCCCCACCTCTCACCCTGCCTTTCTCTCTCCTTATTTCCATCCACCCAGGGTCCCAAGGCCTTGCACCATTTCCACCTGGACTTCAAGATCTCTGCCGACCATTCCTGCTCAAGAGCTTTCTCATTCCTCCAAACCCCAACTGCTGTCATACTGGCTAAACCATATGACATCGAGAGCTTGACATTCAAAACTGGCACTTCCATATGGTTCACCCTAAAGTTAATGCCACATTCTCTTTGTGTTTCATGTTTCTTTCCTTTCTCAGGTTTCTCTCTCTGGAGGGAGTTATCTCTCCAGAGAGAATGTAAGCCTAGTATAGTAGGTGGAACACAGACCAATTCATTTTCCAGCTCAGCTATTTACTAGCTCTGTGACCTTGGGCAGACGACTTGGTCTGAGCCAGTTTCCTCACCTCTAAAATGGGAACATGGATGCCCAACTTTCAGGGCCGTCATGAAGCTGATCCCTAGTAGTGTTGAGCCTTGAGCAGGTGCCCAATAACACTCCTGGCATTTACAGTCCTTCACAGCCTGGCTCCATCCTGCCTTCCCAGTCATTCTCCTGCAATTCCACCCCAGGCATCTGTCACTGCAGCTGGGTTACACCACCTGCCCGGTCCCTGTGCTTTTCTAGTCTATGCTCTCACAGGCACTCGGGCACTACAATCTTCCTACTGCACGGTGCTCTTGCTCTCCTCCCTAAACAGCTAACTCCTCCACCATACATACCTACCAAAGACTTATTTTCCATTGGGTCATGGGGTTATCTTTTTTCTTTGTTGAATTATAAGCTCGTCTATCCTCATGCACCTTAACCTCCATTCAAGTAATTAGCATAATGCCCTCAGCTGAGGGGTTTTTTGTGAATGGAAGAGAAGACAATCAATAAAATTTGTGAGAATAATTAACTGACTGCCTGAGTCCTGGGAATTAACCCTGCCCTTTTCCTTAGCGCTCTAGGCAGCACCAAAGAGCCTCGGAGGACAGAATAAAAGTGGAGGGCCCTGAGGCTGCAGCATTGGCAGCACAGGGACAGCAGCTCTGGCATTGGCCACTTCGGCCATCACAAGGAGGGGTCACCACTATGCTGCTTCTACCTCCATGGGGGCCTTCAGGATTGGTGAGGGACAGCAGCTGCCCCTGGCTGGGGCTTTGGTGGCCACCAGCCTGGGGGCTGTTCCTGCCATCAGTGGGCAAGCTATACCAATACCCTGTGTGTTCCATCACCTGCAGCAAGAACCTCCCTAAAAGCCCCGTGCTCAACATGCACCGAGGAAAGGGCCACAGCCTGCAGGATGGTGCAGTCCCCATCAGTAGGAAAGATTTCAGAGCCAAACCAAAACCACAGTTACCCACTCAAAGCATATCCTAGAGGTCCTACCACACCACTTTCTCATTTTATGAAAATGCATACCCAGATAAGGTCAAGTTAAAGGAGTTCATCATCACCAAGCCCTTTTATATGAAATGTTAAAGGGACTTATCTAAGAAAAAGAAGATCAAAAATATGAACAGTCAAATAACAACAAACTCATAACAACTGAATGTAAAAAACAAAAACAAAAACAAAAACAAACTGAGCAAACAACTACCACAGGAACAGAATCACAGAAATGGAGATCACATGGAGGTTTATCAGTGGGGAGGGCAAGGGGGAAGAATTGGGGCAGAAGGTACAGGGAATAAGAAGTATAAATGGTCTACAAAATAGACAGGGGGAGGTTTAGAATAATATAGGAAATGGAGAAGCCAAAGAACTTACATGTACGACCCATGGACATGAACTAAAGTGGGGGAATGCTGGTGGGAAGTGGAATGCAGGACAGAGAGGAATAAAGGGACAAAAAAAATGGGACAACTGTAATAGCATGATCAATAAAATATATTTAAAAAAACACAAAAAGAAAATGCATACTGAAAACAATCATAAGCCTTGTATAGCACCGAATGGAACTGAATGGGACTTAAACACACCGAGGATTGTGGCAAGGCCTCCCAGGGAGCACGTGGCTGCCCTTCAGGCAGCAGAACTGCATCACAGCCACACATTCACTAAACCAGCCATGATTCCTGCAGGAACAAGGGCCTGCCCAGGAAGCAAAGGAAGAATAGGTGTCTCCAAACACAAGCAGAAGTGGTCTAATAAGAGCACTGAATCACTGCTCAATAAACCAGTCCCTAACACTAACAGTCAAAAACTATAAGCTTCAGACACAGGGCGGAAGCATCTCTGACCCTTACAGGTCCAGTGCCAGAAAACAGACACTTACAACACTGCTCAGATACTCTCAGAAGTTGCTTTTATCAAATCCCAACATTGCTGTGGTTCCGCTCTCCATCATGCAGTTACCTCACACACTTACTTTTTAGCAGCTCTACTGAGATATAATGTATATACTATACAATTCATCTATTTAAAGCATACAATTTAATAGTTTGGAGTGTATTCAGAGTGGTTCAACCAAAACCACAATAGACTTTGGAACATGTTCATCATCCCCCAAAGAGAAACCCCATACCCATCAGCAGTTACTCCCCTTTTTACCCCCGACTCCTCCAGCCCTCGGCAACCAATCTACTGTCTGTCTCTACAGATTTGCCTGTTCTGCTCATTTCAAATAAATGGAACCATACACTATGTGGTCTTTTGTGACGATATCTTTCACTTAGCATGTTTCTAAGGCTCACCATGCTATTGCCACATGCCTACGTTTGTGAGAACAGAGTCTTTGGTGCAGCCTGCAGTAGTAGGTGTTGATAACCAGGTTCTGCCATAAGCATCGTCCACATACTTTGCTAGTAGATCCCTAATATTTGCCCAGATTTCCAAACCTCTCTCTGAAGATGTTCAAAAATTGCAAATTATTTCCACTGAACCAATTAGTACAGTTGTTCAAGTAAACTTGGGTAGAAGTCCACCTAGGAAACGTGTCAAAAGAATACCATTTCTTCACCCTGGCTGGCGTAGCTCAGTGGATTGAGCACAGGCTGCGAACCAAAGCATCGCAGGTTCGATTCCCAGTCAGGGCACATGCCTGGGTTGTGGGCCAGGTCCCCAGTGGGGGCCACGTGAGAGGCAACCACACATTGATGTTTCTCTCTCTCTTTCTCCCTCCCTTCCTGTCTCTAAAAATAAATAAATAAAATATTTTTTAAAAAGAATACAATTTCTTCAATCAATGTACAGAATTAATTACATCTCTCAAAATGTTATACCATCTACATCATGTACTTCCAAATTCCTGTCTGTTATTAAATTGACATGAATTTGTTTTCAGGCCCTGGCTGATGTGGCTCAGTGGACTGAGCACCAGCCTGCAAATCAAAAGGTCACCAATTTAATTCCCAGTCAAGGCACAAGCCTGGGTTGTGGGCCAGGTTCCCACTTGGTGGCATGTGAGAGGCCAACTACACATTGATGTTTCTATGTCCATCCACGTTTCTCTCCCTCTCTTTCTCCCTCCCTTCCCCCTCTCTAAAAATAAATAAATAAAATCTTTTAAAAAAATTTGGTTTCAAGTTTCACTTCCTATTAGTGTTCAGACTCACAATTTTGCCCAGTTCTCTAGTAACTTCATCAAGAGCCCCTCTCACATGCCAAGATAGATGCCTGTTTCCAGGCAGATGGGATCCCCACAGAAACTCAGACTGCGGGATGCAGAGTTCTACAAGTGAGAGAAGGCTGATGGGTCGAGCTGTGGATGAGGCAACACCCCTGAGTGTGTCCACTCAGCACATGGTGTCTTTACGGGCAGGCTTATCAGCAACAGTTTACCAGAAGACCCCCATGGTTTGTTACCTCAGAATGACTCTGAGAGTTTAAACCAAGATATTTTAAAACGTGCACCTATTTTAACTTCAAATTCACAGAAGAGTGTGTTCCTTTTCTACAGCTGCTGTAACAAACTGCCACAAACTCAGTGGCTTTACACAACTTTATTTCCTTAAGGTTCTGGAAGCTAGAAGTCTAGCACAGGTCTCATGGCACTGAAATCCAGATGTCAGCAGGGCCTTGTTCCTTTCTGGAGGCTCTAGGGGAGAATGCGTTTCCTTGCCTTTCCCAGCTTCGAGGTGGAAGATGCTTGCAGTCCTTGGCTCGGGGCCCCTCCCTCCATCCTCAAAGCCAACAATGACTAGCTGAGTCCTTGTCACATTGCACCACTTAGTGGTGCTCCTGCCTCCCTCCTCCACTCCAGGATGATCTTTCCGTCTAAAGTCAACTGATCAGTAACTTTAATTTCATCTACCATGAAATTATTCCCCTTTGCTATGTAACTTCATATATTCACAGGTTCAGGAAATTAGGATGTAGACATCTTTGGTAGGAGCCATTTTTCTACCTACCACAAAGAGTATGCTTCCTTCATAAAAATGACTGACCAATCAATCCCAAAGGGCAGATTTATTAAGTGACTGAGAAAGTGTTTTAGGTACTCCGCCTACCTATACACTGGATAATTGTAGATAATTGTAGCTTCTGTTCAACACGCACATTGGGCGAGCAGACTTGTCACCGGGCCCAGCCCAGAATCCAGGAATAGATTTTTATATTGAAGACTGATACAAAAGATCTGTCTTTCATTAGATCTTCCATCTGTCTAATCGAAGATCTGATACTGGCCTCAATGTTCAGACTCAAACTAAAGAGTGAATTTAGTAATGTGAACACTGGAACAATTGGGCACAGACACCAAATCTGACTTTCCACTTGTGACCCGTTCCGCTAAGTCCTAAGGTTGTAGGGGAAACCCTGCTTCCCGAGGCCTGGGGCTGCCCCGCACAGATGGAGGCATATAAACCATGCTTACACAGCGG